AACAATTTTTAATTGGCAACGAAATTGAAACCCATTTGCTCCCCTACCCAATCCCCCACCACTTGCACACCCAATCCGAGGCTGTGGCTCTGGCTGAGGCTAAGGCTGGGAAACGGGTTTCTTTCCGAACAGCCATCAATTTGTTGTACTTAACAGCGACTAACACTTGTCTCCTCTCTCTTTCTCCAGGCGAATAAACACCGGCAAACCAATGGATTGGGATCGGCGAGCAGCGGCGGCGGCGGAGATCGAGTGCCGCCCATTGGGGGCTATCAGTGGCCGCCGGATCAGACGCCCGGAGTGATGGGGCTGAAGAATCATGGCAACACCTGCTTCATGAACGCCGTGCTGCAGTGCCTCAGCCACACGGACATCCTGGCCGAGTACTTTGTCTTGGATCAGTACAAGGTAAGTGAATGAAACGAAGGGAAGAGATCACTGCTAATCCACGTACCTCACTCTCCCCGCCGCAGGCTGACCTTAAGCGCCGCAACAAGATCAATTCGCGAAAGTTCGGCACCAAGGGAGAGCTCACCGAGCAGCTGGCCAATGTGCTAAAGGCCCTGTGGACATGCCGCAACGAGAGCGACCACAGCACGGGCTTCAAGGCGGTGGTGGATCGGTACGGGACGCAGTTTCGCAGCTCCACGCAGCACGATGCGCAGGAGTTCCTTTTCTGGCTGCTGGACAAGGTGCACGAGGACCTCAACACGGCCAGCAAGCGACGCTACAAGAGCATCAAGGTACGCGCAAAATCAGTCCAGAGTCGCATCCATGATAATCTCTAGTTTGTACCCCACACACAGAACTCCTATGGCCGGTCGGACGAGATCATTGCCGCCGAGACGCTGGCGAATCACATCCGGTGCAACAACAGCTTTGTGCAGGCCGTGTTCCAGGCCCAGTTCCGCTCCTCGCTGACGTGCCCGCGCTGCAAGAAGCAGTCGAATACCTTCGATCCCTTCCACTGCATCTCCGTGCAGCTGCCGCAGCTCACACAGCAGACGATCTTCGTGACGGTGGTGTACATGAAGCAGCAGCCGCGACAGATCAAGATGGGGCTGCGAGTGCCGGCGGGATCGCCGATTGTGGCCCTGCGGGAGCAGCTGCAGACGGACACGGGCATTGCGGGGTCGCGCATGGTGCTGGTGGACCTCAATGCCGAGGGATTCACGCACGTCTTCTACGACACGCAGCCGGTGGAGACGCTCAGCAGCATCGAGAGCATCTACTGCATCGAGGTGCCTGAAGCGGCTGCGGAGAGTCCCCGATCCCAGCCAAAGACCGCCACCACGCCAAAGGCATCGTCCTCCCCGTCGGCTCCCGAAGCGGCAGAGAAGATCCCCTCTGCCCCAGCCCCTGCAGCTGCCCCACAGGCAGATCTGCTCCTCCTAGTGGCCAACGTTTACAGAGCAAAGGACGGCAAGGACATGACCCGATTCGGGGCACCGTTCAGTATGAAAGCTCCGCGCGACTGCTCCTACCAGGATCTGCAGAAGCGGATGCTGCGCGAAATGTCGCCGCTGCTCAAGCCGGAGGTCTTCTCCTATGCCACGCCCCTGGCGGACATGTTCCGCATCCGGCTGCAGGACCCCTCCGCCGACCCCGACACCTACCTGGAACAGGTGGAGCATCCGCTGCTCACCGAAATGATCGACATGGCACTCACAGTGCTCGCCTCTGAGGCGGGGCCACCGCACATCAAGCTCCTGCTGGAATGGAGCTCGCCCGAGGACCACTTCCTCGCGCGCCAGCAGGAGACCGATGATGAGGCCGTCGTCGAGCACGAGAGCGTGGCACGGCTGAGCGCGAGCAAGGCCAAAGATACCGCCGCCTTAACGCTGGAGCAGTGCCTGGAGCACTACACCAAGGCGGAGACGCTCAGTGCGGAGGACGCCTGGCGCTGTCCCCACTGCCAGCAGTATTTGCCCGTGGTGAAAACGCTGGGCCTGTGGTCGCTGCCCGATATCCTGGTGGTGCACTTCAAGCGCTTCCGCCAGCACCAGTCGAAGGGACCGCAGGCGGCCAAGCTCACCACGATGGTCAAGTTCCCGCTGACGGCCTTCGATATGTCCCCCCATCTGGCCAAGGGTGTCCACGAGAGCGCCACCAGCAGCTCCCTGGGAATCCTAGATGGCGGTGGTCGCGGCTCGAATCTGTGGAAGCGTGCCCGCTCCGGCGACTCGCGCTCCTCCACCCTCAACTCTCGCTGCGACCCCAAGGACACGCGGTACGATCTGTATGCCGTGTGCTACCACCAGGGCGACACTCTGGAGACGGGCCACTATACGGCAGCCTGCAAGAACCCATACGACCGGCAGTGGTACAAGTTCGACGACCAGCGCGTCAGCAAGGTGCCCGAGGACGACATCGAGCAGGACATCATCAATAACGAGGCCTATATGCTCTTCTACCAGCGACGCAGCGTCGATGCCGCCGAGTGCTCCGGCTCCAGCTCAAACTCTGGGGATCACTGGGTCTCCCGCATTGCCCCGTCTTCAGCTTCGGCAACCTCTTCATCGGCCGCCTCAACATCTGGCAAAGAGAACGAGGGAGCTGTCAAGGCGGAGGCGGGGCCCAGCGAGGTGGCCGAAAGTGGACCAGCCGCGGAGAAGGCTCAGTCCAAGCCCGTGGAAATTCCACTTGTGGGCGAAGAAGGTAAGAGAATGAGCAGCATGAACAGCTCTTTACATGAGTATTAATCTTGCATACCCCTCTTTCAGTTGCTCCAGAAACCACAGAAGCTGTGGTCCAGGATGAAAGCAAAGCCGCCTCCCACGAACTCCCACTCAACATTGAGGAGCTGGCCTTCGCCGATGCTGATGCTGATGCCGATGCGGATGTCAGTTTGAGTGAAGATATCAAGGTTGAGAGGATAGAAGCTGCAGCAGAGCCAAGCCAAACAACCGCAGCTGCAGTTGCAGCTACAGAACCCAAAACGGCAGCGGCAGCGGCTATGGAGGAAGTCACGCACATTTTTGCCATGGACGAGGAGCAAAAGGAAGAGCCCGTGGAATTGTCAAAGGTCATCAGCGGGAGCGAAATCCTGCCCGAAAGTCTGCCCACTACTGAAGTGGTTCGGACCAATGGCCATGTGAGCCCCTCCTCTAGCTCGGCTTCGTCGGAGAGTTCACTTTCGTCGCGTTCCTCGCCACGGTCGCTTACCACCTCCGTGACAGCGGCATCCACGCTGCAGAACAAGCTCAATGGCCACATGAATTCCGCATGCTCGGGCATGTTCAATGGGAATGGGAATTCGACAGCGACAGCTACGACGAATGGCACGCACCCGCAGCTGTCATCCAGCCTGCAGCTCACACGGCAGGTGCTGAGCAACCATAACTGGCACGGATCTCGGAGCAGTGTCTCGGCTGTGGAGAATGCCACACACCAGCAGCAAAAGCAGCAAGCGGCTGCGGCGGCTAGCCTCAGTCTGCGCCACTCCTTCTCCACCAGCTCCAACTACAAGCTGCGCGAGTGCACCGAGACGCTGTCCTCGCTGCTGCGCAACTCCACGAACACCTGCAGCAAGGACACGTTGCTGTTTATCGATCAGCAGAGCCATCATCACACTTCGGGCCTCATCGAGGACGACGATGATTCGTATATGGGAAGATCCTTGTGGGTGAGTTATAATCTGATGAGAGACAACTTTTGTTAATTAAAACCCAACTAAATGTCGCCTCAAATGTCCATTCTGCAGATATCCCCAGTGACGCCACACAAGCTGATTACAGTTTCGCCAAAGAATTAATTTGGGATATTGATGGGCGATCCTACAACACGGAACACACAACACAGACAAGCAGGAAAGCGGAATGCAGAATGCAGAACACGGACACACACACAAACGCACTATAGCCATAAGCCTAAAGTTTACTTTATATTGATATTTCTAACGTTTAAGAACGATCGATAAGCATTACGAGGACGTTATACAACACGGTTTACTTTAGTAGGGAGATATATATTATATACATATATATATCTTGTGTATACTCATACATATATTTATACATAATACGATAGCTGCAATATGGCATTAAGTGGAAAAGCTGAGAGGAAAACTTCTGTAGCTCTAGGAGTTTAGTTAAGTTTAAGTTTATTTATTTCGATTTGGATTTCGATGATGGCCGTTTCTGAAGCCAACGACGAGAAGGACTCTTGTTCATATTTTACCAATTGACATTGCATTATATTCTGTATAACTTTAACGTTAGTTACTAAGCCAAACAAACAGTGAAGTACAATTTTGATTCGATTCGATTCGGTTTAGTTCTCCCACACACATTTCCCCCCATCCGCTTATAAGTACTAGCTGCTCTGTATAGATAGTAGTTCTCCCCCCATCCATTTCGGATGTGTATCGATGAAGTGCTTGGCATTACCAATTAAGTTAAGTTCTTTCTTTGTGCACGAAACCAAGTTTCAAACAAAACATTTCTCTACGCATAGATATGTAGATCTAGCTCTAAAGATATACCCTTATTCTTATCCTACAATTGTGGATTACTTTGAATACTTTGATTTGCCATTTACCAAAACCATTTCCCTAAAACTTGTAAACCCCCCCATATGTATGTATGTATTTGTTTCGATTCGCATTGGTTCTATATACCAGATATTAGCATATACACGAGTATATATACATGTATGGAATGTATACTGAAACATATTACTTTATAAATAGTGTATTGTACATGTAGAAAGCATTACACCAAAACATTATATTGATAACAAATGTTTAAAGACTCTACGGCATTGTTTTTGCAAAATGTTTATTATATATACGTACTGTACTCTATATATTATATATACACCACACATCCATGTATACACGGAACGGAGGAAAAGGACCGGGACTATGGACAGTTGGAAAGAAATAGAGACGAGGAAGGAACTTTATTACGATGTGTAATGTTCATTGAATTCATAAATAAACGTGAAATTGTTGGAAATAATTGAAATTTAAACTCAGCAACTCAGGGACAGCAATTCTATAAGGCGATATAAGTAAAATACGTATATTTCTACAGCGTAATGTATGATTTCCTCTGCATCAAAGTCAGCCGGAAAGTCCGCTACAAAAAGTGGCAGCATGCCCCAAACTTGGTGCTGTCTCTCTCTAGCTGTCTCTCACAGTCTCTCTGGTGCTCTCTGGTATGCTAAATTCAAGGCAAAGCTTTCTTTCATTCCACTTTCTTGCGGCACGGCACGGCACGCTCTTGCTCTTTGAATTGACCGGGCCTGAAGAAGAAGCAACAGCAGGCGACAAAGGCAGAGACGAGGCCCACTGAAGGAGGTTCAACGTCTGCTGGCTGCCACACTCTTGGCTCAGTTTCAGTTCAGTTGCTGCACTTGACGCGTCTTGTTCTGTTCGCGCTACCCGACTCTCAAGAAGAACCTACCATTATTGTGTGCGTGTCGGAAAGAAGTTGATCGCCAGAAGAAAAGATTGTCCCATAAAGCATGGATTATCGTTTACTGTTGGTATGTGTCATTACGGGAAAGGGAATGGGATTGGGAATGGGAATGGGATTGGGAATGGGCATGGGAGCCTCATAGCTGGTGCTAACTGTTCTTGTTCAAGCCTCTAGTTCGTTGGCCAAGTCATTTGTTTTGCAACATTTGCGCTCACACTTACGGTACGGTACGGTACGGTGCGATGGCTATATGGCTGGGGAAATGGCCCGATTCTGGAGCATGCTAATGAATTAAACTAACTGTCGAGTGGTATGGTAGGGAGTGGGGTGTGGGGTTCTTTGGCTCTGTTCTGGTCGGTTCCGTTCTTCTGGCTTGGGTGCCGGAGCAACTTTCCCGTTAGCCATAGCATACACACACTTAGAACACACACCACACGCCACCCCAACGAGTTCTCTGGCTGGAGGAGCTACCTTGGAGTTGGAGTTGGAGCTGTTGCTAGCCATCAACATCACCATCACCATCAACCCCGAAATGCGGTCAATCTCAAATCTGCAATTAGGCTACAAATATTTACCATGCAAATTCTTTCCTGTTGTTTATCTGTGAGTCTGAGTGTGTGTGTGTGTGTGTGCTAGTGTTTTTTGTTTTTTTTTTGTTTTTTTTGGTAACAAACAAGTTTTAGCCTCATTAGAATGTCCCAAAGAAGTGGAAAACAAAAGAATGAAATGAGACCCGAGTCTTTGACCCAATTTCCCTTTACACGGAATTCAAATTTTGTGCTGTGAATCATGTCACGAAGTCATGAGATGCCACAGCTTGACTCTCGGGAGTCGCATCCCAAAACAGGCAGAGATCACAGACAAAAGGGGGAGGAAGAGTGCCAGTAGTGGTGACTGTGACAGAGAAATTCCAAAGTGTCTAAGACAGCAGCCAGCAGCCAGCCGCCCGCACCGCACCGTCACAAAAGAGATGTTACTGGCTTGACCTGAATCTCTTTGTTGAACTTTTGATTTCATTGAAGTGAAGTGGCCAGAATTTCAGGGAAAGTTCCCCAGTCCCCACTGGCCGCAACACTTAATGGTCAAGTGAGCAGCAGCAGGCCCACCGAGATGCAAAGATCACAGTCTCAGACTCAGTTTGGGTTTCAGTTCATTTTTCAGTTGTCGGGTTTGTTTATTTTCAAGCCCGCAACTTTCGCGCTTTCGCCAAACAACAAAAAATGTCTCAGACGGAGAAAGAGAGAGAGAGGGAGAGAGAGAGAGAGAGAGAGAGGGCAATAGAGCATTTCTTTCCACACAATGCGGGACCATTCATGCTGACAATTAATTTGATTTATTTATTGCCACGGCGGCGAGTTCTTCATGCCATAGTCGTACAATAAGAGGATCCCCCATCTGTGACTGTCTTTTTGTTTGTTACTTAGAAAATTCTCAGCTTTCTGCTGCTGGCCCAGTTGGGTCTTGGCCAGCCACAGCAATCGCCAGCGACGGACTACAACGAGGAGCAGCCGCCCGAGGGCTACTACGCCTTTGTGGAGTCCCCAAATGCCGTGCCCCCAAGGGTCAGGCCGCCACCGTACACCTTCGTGAATGCTGACTGCAAGGACGTGGCGGCTGGCAAGAAGTCGGCCGTCTCCGTGCACAACATCTGCGGGGATCTGAACAAGGGACAGATACCCAAGAACCCACTCGGGCAGAATGTGCTCGGCGAGCCCTATCCCTTGTAAGTCTCTCCACCTGTTCCTCGACAGATCCGAGCAGCAATCCTAAGGGCATCCATTCCCATTGCTATCTCCCACAGCGAGCTCATACGCAACCAGACGCTCAAGTTCCTCTCGAAGACTCTGCCCGTGCTGAAGGCCGACGACACCCTGCCCAAGGTCACCCAGATCATACGCGACGAGCCAGTGGAGCAGCTGGACAACAACAATATCGACCGGCCCTACCCCGGCTCTGGGTCCACACGCATTCGTCGCAGTGTCCCCGACGGCATAGAGTCCAATGAGTACAGCTACTTTGATCCCGCCTTGGACGAGGAGAGTGGACACCAGCAGCAACAGCATCAGCAGCGGGAGCAGCAGCAGAAAAGAGCCGCCGAAGAGCGCAAGCCACGAAAATTCTGCGATGGCGGTGGCGTGTAAGTAAAGCTGGAATATTATACCCATGATCCTGTTCTGAATCAATATCTGCGACAGATCCTTTGTGTTAATCCCTAAACAATTTTCTCCCTTAGATTCTGCACATTGTATCGGGCCATTCAGGGTGACAATGGCAGTGCCGCCGCTGCCACGCCCACAGCCGAGAGACGGGAGGAAGTGGGACCCATACGGTATGAGGGTCCGCCCACACCCTGCCCCGCCAAGGTGGAGTATGCCACGCCAGTGTTCGCGAAGAACTACCAGGGCGCCTGGCGCTATGTGGTGCAGATACCCTACGAGGGATACTTCACTCAGACGGTGGAGGTGACGCGCTGCATCCAGGCCAGATGCCACTATCTCGACGGTGGATGTCTCTCCTCGCCGCGCTGGGTCAGCCTGCTGGTTGCAGAGATCTTCTACCCCAATGCCGAGGACACGGTGCCCACCAGCTCGACGACCACACAGGCGCCCTCGGTGCAGGACTTCCAGGCCTATCAGCAGTACCTGCAGAAGCGTGCCGGCGTGGCCACCGCCTCCGATGGCACCTCCTCCACGGGCCCGAATGGTGCCGGAGCGGGTGCAGCGCCAGCGGATGCCCACTGCGATGGACACGATGAGCTGGGCTGCTTCCAGGTGCGCCTCTACTACGACTGGTTCTTGATACCCGGCTCCTGCAAGTGCTGGCGTCCGGACTACTTTGCCAAATACGTGCGCCGGAAGTCGGTGGCCGATTTGTGAGAGCTCCACCATGAGATCCTTAGATCCTTAGCATAAGTAAAATGCCGTAGCCGTTAAGCGAGATGGATCGAGATGAAGTGCTCATTCTAGTGATCCGAGGGCAGGATTGGATCCGCACGTGCTTGGATTGCGTAGAGTTTGCAGTTCGTGGCTGGATACCAGATACCAGATACAATTTTAACTTAGGCGATTAGCTCCCTCTTTGACTGATTAAGCCAGGCGCATTGAATTTCTACTAATAAATAAATATATTTCTCCTAAAATGCCAACACCCCCCACCACCACCTCTAGCTCGCGCTCTGCTCTGCTCTCGCTCTCGCTCTCCTCTCCGTTTCGCTCGCGGGGATTTAGGCTAGGCCAAACCGCTTCCGATGCTGCTGTATGGGTGCCTCCTTGTGCTCTTTGCCAGTATCTGTGGTTCTGTGTGTGAGTGTTTGTGTTGTGTTTGAAAGATCCACCGAAAACAAAAAATAACAACAACAACAGAAACGAAACGAAACCAGTCCCGCCGCCAGTCAACCAGTTGCGCATGCGTGCCCGCCACAGTCTCTCAGTCTCGAGACCCATAGTCGTCGAGTGTGCAGTCAGCAGCACAACCAGTCGGTTGGGTTTGGTTGGGTTTGGTTTGGGTGTTTTGGCCGGGAGCTGGACCGAACTGAAGCGACGCTGAGCACTGGAAGTGCATTACATACACACATTGGAGCCATCGCCGCCGCCACTCGAGAATAGGTGCAAGCGAGCCAACTTGTGCAAAAGCCTTGACGAACGGCCTCAAAAGGCTGCCGCACAAAATCGGAATCGGACTAGGAATTGGCTGGAAACATTTCCGCATAGGTGCATAGCACTCACCATAGTAAGTACGCGGTACAATAATGCCTCAAGCCAATACCCAATTGGTTTCTAAAATACCTTGGCTTGGGCTCGGGCGAATTTAAAATCAAAGTTTTAGCTTAAGGATCCATCAAAATGGGTGCAAACTTGTGCCAAGTCTTGTCGAAAAGTGACTTAAAGCGGCTTGCAAACGCTTTTGGATTCATAGTGAAGTTTTTGTCAATAAACAATCCCCATACCATGGTGAAAAAAGAGCACCGTAGCTTGCAGAACGATCGTTTTTGTTGTATACAAATCCCTCGGAAAAATGGCAATGCCTTCTGCAAAGGGTGTGAAAAAGTTGATGGCATGAGTTTTTCCTTGTGGAAGATGATGTGAGCCATGGGTTAGGCAATTCTCTTTGGTTTCCCACCATACATTCCATCACCATCTCTGCACCGTCACCGTCTCCGTTCGTTGACTGAATCATGAGAGATTCAAATGGGCTCACATGAATATTCAAGTTATGCATTGAGTCCACTGCGTGGGACCATCCATAATCCGAGCACACACTTTCCATTTTGGGTCTCTTCTCTCTTGCAGAGGAAGATGCTGCGGCAGAGCACCAGCACCAGCATGCTGGCCCTCAACACCAGCGACGCGCTCCATGGGTGCTCCAGCACCAGCCAAGGGCAGTCCCTGGACATGGATGCGCTGCCCAAGCAGTTCGTGCTGTCCATGAAGAAGCTATTCGACATCCTGGACGACAAGCAGAGCGGCTACGTGAGGTATGTGGACATCGAGAAGGGTTGGCAGGACGACGGATCGAAGGGACTGCCGCGCGGGGTCCTGGACTCGCTGCGCCGGGTCACGCCCAGCTGTGGCCTGCTCTCCTTCGAACGATTCTGCGCCGGCCTGAAGCTATGCCTGCTGCGCAATCAGCAACAGATGAGCGAAGCCAAGATTCGGCCTCGATCACAGCCCCAAAGTCTGGGCGCGGAACTGGAGTACGGATCGCCAGCGCCCCCGCCCAAGCCTCCGCGCCAGGCAGCAACCGTGGCCACGTCTCCTCCGGCCATGGCCAAGGCGGACATTCGCCATGCCCTGCAGAACTGGCAGCTGAATCTGATGCACAGCGAGCGGGGTGCGAGTGCGGATGCAGTCAAGCAGAAGTCGCTGACGCTAAAGACAGCCCGCGAGCAGTTCGAGCATCGCGGGTCCGCGGATGGTGGCTCATCCTCCACCTCGGCCTCGGCCACCGACTGGAGCCTGGCCCTGCCACCGAAGAAGTCGAGCAGCAAGCGACGCGAATCCCGCAGGCACACGCTCCAGAACGGCATCGACTATAACATGCTGAAGCGGCTCAAGCAGCTGGAGGAGCAGCGGGAGCTGCTGCTGTTTGGCCTGGACGGAGTGGAGAAGGCGCGGGACTGGTATATGCAGCAGGTGCTCAACGTGCAGGAGCAGATCAAGTATTTCGGGCGACTCGGCACCAGATTCGTGAGTACAACAAGCCTCATAGTTGCATCCAAGTTTGATTTTTCATTCTTTCCACTGCAGGATCAATGGTCGGAGCTGCAGCAGGAGCGCCTCAACTTCCAGCGGGCACGCGTTCTGGAGGCGAATCGCAGCCTTGCCATTCTGGCCGACACCTGGGAGCATGGCGGCTATCCGCTGCACATCAATCTGGCCATGCCGTCCAAGCTCTCCGATCTGCTGGAACGCGGCAATCTCTACGAGCAGCAGCAGCAGCATCCGCACCAGCTACAGCAGCTCCACAATATGCGTGCCATGTCCAATTTCGTCCTCAGCCAGCCCTCCCCCGAGAGCCAGTCCTCCGCGGGCCTGGGCGACGCCGATGTGGTCTACTAGGAAGCAACTAGAATAAGAATGGGAAAAAGTCTTCGACTACTTTGTAAATAGTGTGTGTATTATTAAACGGCTCAACAGTCTGATCTACTCTAGAGGGGATTGGGGAAGCGGCGCATGTACTTGTTCAGCTGCTTGTAGTTGAGGTTGTTGCCGGGCTGAACGACTCCCTGGTTGACGGTCTTCTTGGCCTCGAACTTGCGGTCCATGTAGCACTTGAAACAGTTCTGGAACGTCTGGATCTCCTTGTGGCAGTATTTCTCGACGAACTCGTTGTCCTTCATGCAGGCGAAGAGCATGCCCATCTCCTGCAGACAGGCCACATCCGAGCCGGAATCCGCCTTGCCGCTGACTGTGTTCTTCAGGCGCAGCGGCAGAATCTCCTGGAATGGTACCTCCTTCTCGTTCTGCGGCGTGCGGCCACGTGCGGCAAAGAGGGCTCCGGGTATGCGCATTTCTACGGAAAACCCCAAATCACTCAATTCTTGCTTTTTTAGTCAAATAAATACAATTTTTACCAATAATATTCGTCTTCTTTGATCAGCTGTGCCGGTTACGTCAAACACGTATATGTGCGCTACCCAACACTCTCTGAATTAAGGTGTCGACGCTTCGCAGCACTGAAATTCAACAACATTTCAGCCACAAAACAACAGTGTCCGGAATATCTCAGAAAAGGGTAAATAAAAGCACGGAAAGGAAGGCCAAGAAGCAGAGGCCATCACTTGACCGCCACTTATTCACGCCCACGCGTCATGGAAGCCGCCCAGAATGCCGACCAGGCGGCCCAGCAGCTCGTTGGGCCAACAGACGCGGTGCATGAAGAGGAGGAGCCGCCGCACCAGCATCCGCTGTCGAACAGTGTGGGCAGTCTGAAGCGCCAGATCAGCCGTTTCCATCCGTATCATGGGTCAAACATCCAGCTGGATGACGATGCAACCGTCGCGTATCGCAGGGCGAGCTTCGCCGATGCGTTAGCCTTCTCGGAGCGGCCGCTGGCGCCGGGCGACATATTCCTAGTGGAGATTGAGCAGATTGAGCGCGGATGGTCCGGACACATGCGCCTGGGCCTCACCGAGCTGGCTCCCAATGTGATTGAGGCAAGCGCCGAGGGCCTTCCGCACTTTGCTCTGCCAGACCTAGCCAATATGGGCAACAGCTGGATATACCCGATATCCAAGTTCGATATGAATCAGCGGCAGGAGCCCGTGGACATCATCGAGCCGGAGACCTATAGTCAGTCACACCGTGAGTAGACAGCCATCCAGCAGTGAAGTTTTGTTGGTAACGCCTACGCTCTTAGGAAACCTTCTGGGCGATGCACCACACATAAGGACGCCGCGTGGCCTGCTGCCAAAGAGACTGCTGCGTCCGGCCATGGGCAAGGGAAACTCTGACATTCTGCTCACCGACAGAGGCTCTCGCATCGGCATTATTTACGTGCCTTCAACAAACAGCCCGTCCAGAGGCGAGCTTCATTTCATTATAAATGGCGTGTCCCGTGGACCCGTCGCCAGGGAAATTCCTTTGAATATGGCACCCCTATTTGTTGTTATCGACGTGTACGGCACCACCAAGCAGATCCGCATCATCCAGCTCGAGGGCAGTAAGTGCATTGAATGGAGTCCATGTTTTTTCCGTATTTGTATAACCATCTACCCGTTTGAATCCGCAGTTCTTTCCCTGCAAAGCGCCTGTCGCAATGTCATCCTGGAGCACGTTCCAGAGAACGCGATTGGCCACCTGCCACTGCCCGAAAGCATCAAAAGATTCCTGCTGCGTAGAGATTAGGGTCGCACATAGATGGCTCTATGTAATAGAGCTTTGTGTTCCAGTGTGAATGTAGAGAGAGAGCGTGTGCGAGAGTGTGTATGCATGAGCGTGGATCGTGATAGTCTGTTTACCCATATTTTTATAAGCATGTAACACAAGCAGTGCCAGCAGCAGCAGCAGCCACAACTGAAGTGCCCGTACATTGACTCTTGATTTCAGGCACAAGGCGTTGAGGGCCGCATCTAATGGATCGATGACGATGCACTCCGCTACCCAGTTGAACTCTATACAATACCATTCCCGGGTCACCCTCTGCTGTGGCGGGTGTCTATTTTTAAAATGTTCTAATTTATTTTTTGTATCGGTCTGGTTTCGTTCATTATATTTTTTGAGACTATGTTTGAGAACATAACCATCGTTATCCGACTCAATAGGAGGGATACCATATCTACGAGTATCTTCCAGCTGTAGAAGACCGGACCAGATCCAACACCGCCCTGCCTTTTAGCGTTTCGGTTCCGATCCATTCAAGACGATTTTCGTTTGCTTTTTACTTCTAAGTGATTGTTGCTAAATGTAAATTAAGAATGTAATAAAATACCGAACGAAGTTGCTGTAATCCGTCAAATTCCATAATTCTTGGGGTTGCAAAACTAAAGCCGTTTATTCAAGCATAGATAATTGTAATTGTATGTGTAGTTATAGAAGATTGGTTAGGTAGGTAGCAGCTAAGGGCACTACTTGCCGCGATTCTCGGCCAACTTGGTCTTGAAAATGGCCTTCAGCTCGTCGGCCCCATCTCCGTTCACCTCCTGGTAGTAGGGAAGCTCAGCAAGTCGCTTCAGCCATGCGTGGACCTTGGGGAACTTGAACTCGTCAATTGGAGCAGCATCGTTTCCTGAAGTGACTGTGGCCACGGCACAGAAGTCGGCAATGGTCAGATCAGTGCCACACAAGTAGGGCTGGTCCTTGAGAAAACCCTCCAGAATCTCGTAGCACTTCTGGATGTAGGCAATCTTGTCAATGGAACAGTCCGTCGAGCCGAAGTACAGGATTGGCTCGTAGAGGAAACGGAGGCGTGCGAACAGATGACCCGAGTCCAGATGCAGACGCGCATCGACATTGGCGCGCTGCACCAAGTCCTTGGGGTAGAGCTGCTGCTGCTCCTTTCCATACTTCTCCACCAGATAGGCGCAGATGGCGTGCGAGTCGATTACCGTTGCATCCCCATCTATCAAGGTCGGAATCGTATGCTGAGGGTTCAATTTGATGAATTCCGGCGTCAGATGTTCACCTTTCAGCAGGTTAATTGGCCTGGACGGGCGAAGAATCTTCGGTTAATTGATTTATATATGAGTAACTATGCTTGTGGGAACCTACCGCAGTTCAAGATCAAGGCCGATCGCCTTGGCCGTGAGCAGAACGGCGCGAGAGGGAGGACTCAGTGTAGCATAGTATAGGGCTGGCTTCGACATGGTTTACTGTGGATATCTGTGGAGAAATGATGAAATTAGTTGGACTAACTCTTCGAGCCACCCACGCGCTTAACTTCATTAAACAGAGCGATCCCCTTATAACTAACACACTCTTACCCATGGGAATATCAGATAACCTCGCAACAAAAACACACATACATATGTGTATATTAATACATATATACGATAAGTCACTATCAGACGACACTCAACATAGAAACGCACACCTGAAGGAATTTTACTGGCAGCCCTGTCATCGCTTGTCCCACATATATATGTAGCCCCCATACTAACCCTAGGACTGGGAAATTAAATTTACAAAACAAATGTAATTAGCGGCCCAAGCACACAAACACAACCACACATACACACGGTCAAAAGTACAGATGTTGGAAAAGCACAGATCGTGCCTTTTTTGTGTGTCTCTCTTGCTGGCTCGCTCTCTCTCTCGCTGGGTACATATCTACGTTTGTTTGCCGGCAGATTGTAATACCCTTGAAAAGGATATTACTCTTGGCCAGCTTTTTGCAACGCACGCAACATTCCGATCCTACAAGGCATACATATAAAATTTCTTGATACAAAAACCGAGTTTTATAGCCGCGTCTTAGTGGAACGTTGCACAGAATCTTTTTATGCAGTCAATATTTACTTAACGCGAGGTGGGGATGGATCTGCCAGGGTATCAAAAGTTCGGAGCCACGAAGTCTGCATTTCCCCTCTATAGTTTTTTTAGTGCTAATGCAGCAGAATACATGTGTGTGTGCTGTGTGTGCAGCAGTGTAGGGGGGACTTGGCTTTTAGCGTTTGATTACCCACATCCCCCCCTTTAAAGATTATTATTTCACATTTGTTTAAGCGCACAACACTCACACAATTTTCTATGACCGCTCGCTGCAAACTCAGAAAAGTAAATGTGGGAATGGAAGAGAGAACCTGGAGCAGCGTAACGAAACGAAACACAAAAGGCAGACCGCAGATTGAGCGCGGCTGCTACGGCTACAGCTGTTTAATGCATGCATACATACATACAAATGTCGTTTCATTCGTTATAGACTTTTATTCATAGACTTTTGGTACAGGTTAAATAGTATTATGTTCATGGTCTACGAGTATATGATTACTGGTAATTTAATAATTTTATATAGGCGAATATATGAACGTACTTAAAGAGCTTATAGATATGCAGTAATACCAATGTTTCTCGTCCGCACACGGCAGACGTGCAATTCAAAATTCGAATCAATCAAATCCTTGAGCCCAGAAGAGGAACAGGAAAAGCGCAATTACATGAGGCTCGAAGCCTGAATTAAGCGATCATAAATAATATTAATAAAATGGTGTCGTATAGAACATTATATGCACTTAATTGGAGATTTCTAATTGATCGATCACACACTTCTGTTTCGTTTTGCACCCTTCTCTCCTCGATTGTCAATTGTCCAGCACGCTGCGCTTGAGCGCCTCCTCCAGATCAGCGTCAAAGCTCTCCGGCTTTGAGTAGTCCGCCGCGTACCTATCCTTAGTTTGTTCCTTTTTGGTCCCGCCATTCTGCTTGCCCTCCGGGAAGCCCTTGCCAAAGTCACTCGAGAAGTTGTGGACATCGAAGGCCTCGAATTTGGCAAAGTTGTTGTCCAGTTGGGTGGAGTTGGTCGGCTTGCTGCCGCCGAAGCTGTCCTCGAAGTTGTCGTTGAAGGCGTCGCTGCTAACGGCAAAGGCATCGAAGGCCGTCCTGTTCCCACTGATTTGTTCACTGGCCATAGCTTTTGTTACCGTTGTCAGTGTTGATCCTGTGGCTGTGGTTGTGTTATCGTTAAGCTTAAAGTTGTCATTAAATGCATCGAAGAAGGAATCGTTGAGTTTCTTGGTCATCGTCGTCGTTGTTGTGGTTGTAGTTCCAGCTGTGCCCGATCCAAAGTCATCAAAGTCTGCAAACGCATCCAGCGCCGTCTGGGACTTTTTGTGGTTCTGCGAGGCATTCGAGTGGTGCGAGGATGGGGCCGGACTCGCGTTCAAATTGAATGCATCGAATTGCTGCATTATATCGTTGTTCAGCGGCGTTACGGCTCTCGGTTTGGTGCTGTTGTGGATGTTCATGTCTTTCATGTTGTTCAGGGTCTTCACGGCGGCGGTTCCCATCTCATCTGAAATATGGAAATTCTGTCAAGATGAGATTCCAATAAAGCCAATATCCATACGCACCCTCTGAGCTAAAGTCCTCGGCAAAGTTCTTTTTGTGGCCCTCCCCCTTGGAGCCAACCTCCTGCTCCTCCTCATCATCGTCGGCAAAGGGATCTTTGATGCTGAAGGGATCTTCATAGCGGTAGTCCTTGAACGGATCATCCTTGAAGTCTGTGGGACCCGTGATGGGGCCTGGCGTTGGTGTTTTTGCATTGACGTTTCCTTTGCCGCCGCCAAAGGCATCAAAGAGACTCGCTTCCAGGCCCAGGCTTCCAGTCGTTGCCAATGCCGCGATTCCCACTCCCGTTGTGGCTTGCGTCTGGAGCGGTGTGTTGGAACGCGACAAGTGTTGGTTATTTGAGGTGGTGGACATGATGGACATGGTGGAGGTGGTGCTCGTGAGGGCGGCAATTGTGGACGCTGTCGACGAGGATGAGGATGTCGTCGGCAGCAGGGGGTGCAGAGGTGTACTGGCGGTCTTGAAGCCGGGCGCCGCATCATCGAACAGGGAGAAGCTGTCCAGCAGCGAGGCATTGATCGCTGGAATAGGGGTGACCGTGGCCATAGGCGTGGGCGTGGCTGCGGGCGTGATTGGAATGTTCTGGAGCTGTACGAATGTGTGCGGGAAGGTTGTACGAGTGTATAAGGAGTAAAAATCAAATAAATTAAAAGTAAATCAAATTGAAATCAAATCGAATCGAGTCAAACTTATAAGCAAAGAGATAATACAATAAAAAAAGGGGAAACCATAAGCACAAAAGTCAAAGAAAAGCATTGAAGCACACATGGCAAAGGTGGAGGTGGAGGAGTACCATGACCATTAGCATTACCATTACCAGAACCAGAACCCGGGGAAGGTGGTCCTGTCCTGTTCCCCAAAGAACTCTCTCTCTCTGTGACGTACGTGGAATGATGTCGAACATAGATATTTCTCTTTATTAATAATGCAAAACGTTTTTTCTGTTACATTGTGGGTATCGGTTAGGTTGCGGGCTCCCCTTTATATGTAAGTACGCGTGTGTATGGATATATGTATGTATCTATGTATATTCTATGTACGGACCCATGTGATGTACAGCACTGAAAAATCAATGCACGGGAAGCTGCTTGTGGGAGGAAGTGTCTGTGTGTTTATGTGGGTTTTATTATAATCAAAATCTGACAAATATATAGCTGGATACTTGGAGGCTTAGCTATGCCGCATAGATTCCTATATATGTATGTTTAAATTCTCATCTGATGCAGTTTCAGTAAGTAGTAGTGGGGCGGGCAGGCAGACCCCCTTCCACATAAAGTTCAAAATATTTTGCGGCAGTTAAGTTACATTCGTAATCAATAATACATATGTGTATGTATATGTATGCCAATATATGTATGTATGTATGTGGTATGGCTATTAACTTTAGTATTATCTCATATGCAGAAACAACAAACAACTTGCATTTAAATTCCCTTTAGAGAGATCCTTCTCTTGACTAGCAAATAAACAAACCATCCAAGAAAATATGATTAGATGTTCTCCAGCTCCAGTTGAGATCATTGACATTTAAACAATTCGAGGGAAGTCTCCATAAAATAATCGTAATATTAAAGTTAAATACAATATTTTGCACAACATTTCGGAATCGAACTTTTGAATAGAGCTACGTTTATCCCATTCCTCTCATCTTCCTATCCATATATTTCGTTTAGTTTACTTTTGGTTTTTGTGACTACATTTATAACACGACGAGACGTAACGCTTGGAATTTGTTTGGGTTTTTTTTTTGAATTGATTTAGTACATTTAGCTAATTAGAGGCATGATTGTTAAGTCTGAATGGGCGTCTCCCCTCTGCCGTACACGTACCACGACTAATGTAGGAGCACATACGAGACGAGTATGTTTAGGTTTGGTGTAATTTAATATGTGGTTCGTCATTAGCTTCTGTACGCTTCAAATTGATTTGCAATGCTGCTAGAGGAGGCGTCTCTCCCATTAACTGACTATATATTGTGTGTTTGTGTGTGTGTGTTAGTAGTGGTATTATGTATATCAGATACGAGTATATGTATATATATATGCATTATAGAAATGTGAGTATTCTTAAGATGTTCACTGAAAGTAAAGAATTGCAAGAGATGAGAGAGAGACCAGAAGGTTAGTTTTTCATACGAGCAGCACTTGCGAACCAAAGCCATAGACTACTGACTGGGGTGTGCGAGGTGGAGTGGCTGGCAATTACCAATAAACAATAAATCGAGTGTACAATAAACAAAGTAAAACCAGTAGAAATACTCAATCAAAGTTCTACTTTTCTGAGTGCGTGCTTCAAAAAGATATGTTTATTTCTAAACTACACAAAAGAACTTAAGAAATGTTAGTAAATAATCGTAATTGGAAACCAAATTGGATTAGCCATTCTATATAGATACAGGTGATACAGGTGGGGGTGAACGGTGTGCATGCATTACCACCTATCCCAGCGTACACTGAATTGGGTACCAACCTTATTGTCAAAGTCTTCAAAGTCAGCGAAGCCTCCTCCTCCTCCCCCGCCGGCGCCACCGCCGCCAAAACCACTTGTGGGCTGTGGGGAAACAGTACAAAATTCCTCAATTAGTAATCCCCTTAGACACTCGTGTCTGTGCCTTACCTGTGGTCCTCGCGGTGGGGCTGGTCTGGGTGGCGGCACCTTGGATTTCTTTGGGGGCAATGCTGGACTAGGTGACTCCGGTCGTGGTGGTGGGCCTGATCTCTGTGCGTTGGGGCTGAGCACCTGACCCTGGCCGGTGGGCGCATGCAGGGAGGCAAACGGATCGCTTCCAAAGTCATCCTTCCCAGGCTGCAATGCATGATCGGGGGATGAGTCGTCGGTCTTCCCTCTTAACCCACTGCCCGGCCTTACCTCCGGTGTTATGGCGCTGCTTTTGCTGCCCCCGAATGCGTCGGCACCGAAGGGATCGCGTTGCGTTTGGCCAAAACCAGCTGCTGATCCTGTTACGCTCTGGCCAAAGCCCATAGCAGAGCCTGTTCCGCTCTGTCCAAACGCATCGAAGCCGCTGTCAAAGCCGGAGCTCATCGTGAAGCTGTCATCGAAGCCGGCGTTGATGGCTGGCTTGCCGCTGCCCTGTCCGCTAAAGGGATCGTTGCCGAAGCCGTTTGTCGACTGGTTGGCCCGATTGGCCGCTCCGCTGTTGTTCTCGTCGAAGGGATCGTCCTTGGGCATTTCGATCTCCTTCTGGAGGGTCTTGCGAGCGTGATCAAATTCCGGTTCAATCTTCAGCTGGTACTCGGAGACGAGCTCCGCGTTCTGGGTCTCCATGGCGGCGCGACATATGAGCAGCGCATCGGTCATCTGGCGCTGGGTCTCCATCAATTGAGTGACCATCGAACGCACCTTTCGACGATGAAAGCATAAGCTTGACGCATCCCCAAGGAATTTACACCACTTACCGAGCTAATTTGGAGCTGCGTGTTCTGCAGATGCTTGGTCAGCTTGGAGAGCTCGCGATTGTTGTCGTCGTACTCCTTCTGCAGAGACGTCTCCTCATCCTTGAGCTTTTGCAGCTCGGAGCGCTTGGCATTCAGTTCGCCCTCCTGTTCGTTGATGGTCTCCTCCTGCTTCTGGCACTGGTCCCGTATCTTGTTCACCTTCAAAAAGAGATTTGGAAATGCGACAACGATGAACCACGGATGTTTTTCTAATATATCCAAAATTTCGCACAACACTAAGGTCAACAAATATGCATATACACACACACACAAATGTACAATAAACATGAACAACATAAAAAACATAACATAAAGAAGTGAGAAACTGAAACAAACCTGGCTGTTGGTGGTGGATATGTCAAGACTTACGTTGGCCAACACGGCCGTAATTTGGTTAACCTTATGAAATCGGAATAAGTTGTGTGGATAAGTTTTAAAGTGCAATCACCGATTTAGTAGGGGTTTCGTTTTGCGTTTAGCCAAATTGGTTAGCAGAGTGTGGAAGTGTGGAGGAACCATGACAAAGAAAGGGAAATCATAGTTCAAATTAAAATTAAAATTAAAAAAGATTAACCCAAAAGAGCAAGCAATGTGAAGCAGCCTTAAGGCATATGCAGATGCATGCAAAATAACTACTTGAGCCTGCAGATCGTCCAGACGCTTCTGTGCCTCTCCCCGCTGATTCTCCAGCTGCTTCAGTGTGGCCGTCAGCGTGTCCAATTCGCTCTGCAAATGCATTTGGGATTAGTCTCAATCTTATTGTGGAATCTTCAGAGCTCACTGACCTGCAGACTGCGCACTTCCCCGTTTTTGATGCGCACATCCGCCTCCTTTTGGGCGATCTCCGTCTCGAGCACACGTCTTTCGCGCGCCAACTCCTCGATCTCTTTGGAGATCATCTCCAGCTCGGGATTGGAGTACGTGGGCTTCGTCTCCTGTAGCTGCATGTCCACGCCCGACACAGTCGAGCGCATTGATGGCGGCACCATGTTGGCAGTCAGCACATGCGGCGGATCCACGCCGCGCTGCTTCCGCTCGACAAACCACATGGCCAGGGCGAACTGATCCACAGTCAACTTGCCCGACTGATTGGTGTCGCACAGGGCCCTGAAAGCGAAGCGTATAGGAACGGTTGAGTATATGTTTCCCTCGGAAACGGTTTTGCGTTAATAGCTGCAATCCTCACCAGATGTCGGCCAGACTGCGTTGTGGTATACCCGACTTTATGAAAATGTCCTTCACCTCGAGGCCAGAGACCAGGCCGTCCTTGTCCAAATCAGACTGCCGGAATATCTCCTCGAATCGGTTCAGCTCGGAAGGCGTCACCACCCAGTCTGCGTTGGCCGTCACTGGGGCCCCGATTGGTATCAGCGGATCGGTCTGGATCAGAGGCTGGGAACTGACCGCGCCCACGGGCGGAATACGGGTCATGGGCGGCACGGCCACGGGCATCGGAATAGCCGCCGGCGGGGCAATGTCCTTGGGGAAGTTGGCTACGAAGCCACTATCGCCGAATCCCTCACCGCTGGGGGCACGCGGCATGGCAGCGCCAGCTGGTGGCGGAGGCATGGCAGGTTTGGGCGGCGGTCCAGCGCCACCGGCCTTCCGCAGCTCGGGTGGGAGGACACTGGGCACAGTGCGCTTCTGGAGCGTCTGGTAGACGAGATGCATGGCCACGATGAACTCGTGCTTGTCCAAGTTGCCGTCCTTGTCCTGGTCGGCCAGGTCCCAGATGGTGCCGAGGAGGTTCATCGGCAGCTTGGACTCCATGAGTACGCCCTTCACCTTATCGCCGGGCAGCATGCCATCGTGGGGACGGAGCGACTGGAACAGCTGCTCGTACTTGAGCCGATCGATGACACTGATTGACCAGTCGCCGGTGGCTGCGGCCCCGCTAGCGACGGGACCTGTTTGAATGCGAGCGGGCACCAGTTTTGGTAATTCACCCTGGGGGTAAGTAAGGTCATTTTGTGTGACACACATAAGTTCGGGGCTATTGTGTAACTGGTGCAAGGTCTATGCCGACTCACTCACCACTTTCGGAGGGTTGACAGTGTCCACATAGATGTTGTTCATGTTGGCCACCTGTCCCGCCTGGGAGAGGGAGACTAGCTTCAGGGCCACAAAGAAACCGGGCTTGTCGAGGAAGCCCTTCCCATTCGGATCGGACAGATCCCAAATCCGACTGAGCACCACATCGCTGAGACCGGACCTCTTCAGAAATTTGGCCGCCGTCATGGCCTCAATTGCCCCAGTGCCTTTCGGGTCGATCTGCAAAAATCAATAGGGGGGGTTGCAAGAAAACCAAACCCAAGCCACATTCGCGCTTCGCTTCGCCACGCCTGGGCGTCCTTACCTGTTTGTAGTAAGCCTCGTAGATGCCGATGTGCTTGCTGCACACCTTGGCAAAATCCAAATTCATGTTTGCCAAATTTTCTCACTGCTATTCACGAGTTAAGCTGCAGAACGAGAGCACGAGAACGCGTAAGCGTAAGTCTGTTATCACAAAATCGATTTTTCTCCTATTGACGAGGGCGGAAGTGAGAGAGCGAGTGTTCAAACGCTTGTATTTCGCCAACCACGGGTTGCATCCACGAGGGCAGTTGCTCTAGCCACCTACAATATGTCTGCGCGCATTTCGGCCTTGCATTTAACATTTAATTGCAATTGAAAACGAATACACTACACTTTTTAATTTAGTTTTTTTTATCAATAAAATATACTGCCCCGCCCCTCAAAAATATACCAAAGTATGTCTTCTTATTTTCAAAATATACCGAAAGTAAGTGTGTGGACTTTCCGCATGTTGCTGCAGCCTGCAACACTGACAACTATCGGTATAGTATGATTTCAAATTCAAATTCTTTATTGGGGCTTCTGACTATGTTGCTATAAAATTAGAGCAAACGAACGCGGCAATTGGAGGCACCGCACTGGCAATAGAGAACCTTATTGGGTACCACGCCCACCTCGTAGTTGTAGTTCCAGGTCAGCTCGGTGCCGGAGCGAATGTGCGAAGATGCAAAGAAGCCGACCCAGGGGAAGCGCAGATCGTGGGTATCCACAAAGACATTCTGCACAAAGAGATTGGGGTTGCACGAATGCTGCACGAGCAGAGGAACAATCATTAATTAAAGATAATTGCAGCATGTAGCGCAGCTGAACAAAACTCACATTGAAGTAGCGTCCCAAATTGCCAGTTGTCTTGGCGTCCATGATGAAGGGGGTCTGGTCTTTGCCAAAGAAGCGGCGCACAGAGTTTTCACGCACTGTTTCATCCAGATCAGAGTTGGGATTGAAGCTAATTACTGCCCGCTCTTGCGAGTCCACTTCGGTGTTCTGCGTGCTGTTGCTGCGTGAGGAGCGCAGCTTGTCCTTCTTCTTTATATAATAGTTGTTGGGTCGGAAGTCATCGTCGTCCTCTGCATCGGGGCCGTAGTTGTCATCTTCGGGGTCCGGATCCGAGCGCTCCACGTCCGACTCATAGCCCTCCTTCAGCTGCTCGGCCACCTCGATGTAGTCGAGATCGGCAAAGTACTCGTCCCCCGCATCCTGACCGCCCTCATTGGCCTTCGCCTCCGTCAGCAAGTGGCCGGCATAGATGCACACGAAGGCGCCCTTGGGAATGTCGTTGACACAGCGCAGACCCCAGCCACGGTTCGAGGTTTTGAACACCTGCAGCTTCATCTCCAGCGAGTGCTGGACCACACGGTTCAGGCAGTTCTTCTTGCACTTACAGCGCGAGTTGCACTCGTAGATGCCCGTCAGGACGCCCTCGTACAGACGCTTGTACTGGTAGCCGATCTCCTCAATGGGCTTCTTGGGATTGCAGTACCTGACGCCGGTCACGGTCAGCTGCCAGCAGGCGCACTTCGATTTGTCCTGCAAGTCACACATCTCAATCATGATTGGCCCTTGCTATGACGTGTCGAGTCGAACTTACCGAACAATCATCCTCGCAGTCGCAGCACACAAGGAACTCCTCGTCGAGATTCAGGTTCACGCCCTCGGTTGGAATGCGCTGTTTGGCATATTCGCAGGGCGGTGGCAGAGTGTTGTCGTAGTAATTGACTAGCGGAATGGCCATCTTCTCCTGCCCCTTGGAGATGTCCGCCTCCTTGACGATGGTCGACTCGATGTAGTATTCGGCCAGGCAGCGCAGGTCGGGAGTGAAGTCAAAGTTGTCTACATTCAGGACGTTATTGGTGACCCGCAGATAGTTGTGCACTTCAAACATGTTGCGCAGATTCCGGCCACACGGACCGCGATAGACGACAGTGCGCTTGGTCTTCTGCCTCATTACCATGCGCTCCCATCCCGACAGTAGTGGCTTGGACAGCGGACTGTAGCTGTCCAGACGGTGTACGACCGTGAAGAGACAGCTCGGGTTGCATATGTGGGTTTTGAATACCCTGGGCGGCACATTCCGCTTGGCCGTGAAGTGCACCACCTGACCCTTGGGGCGGGTGTCGTCGTCCACGTAGATGGTGGAGTTGTTCAGGTGACGTACTGCGGAGGCGGAAGCGGATGCCGTTGAAGGTGCTGTAGTGGATGCTGTCGAGGCTGATTTCCCAGTGCTTTTGCGGGCTATGGCACGTATCTGCTGATCAACCTGCCTGTTGCTCGACTCCATCTCCTTGGTGTAGCGTATGAAGGGTTCAGTGCGCTGGAATTACAAAAGCAAGTCCGAATTCAGCCGGATATGCAGAAATTTCGAATGAATACCAAACTCACCCTTGGGACCCTCATCTGGTGGATGGCGCAGTCGGCATTCAGCGAATTCTGGGTCTCCTTGAAGACGGGGGCCAGGCGCAACGAGCCGCGATAGATCCACTCCGTGTGGTTCTTATCGGCCTCGAATTGCATCAGCACCAGGCTGCAGTCGACCTCAATGACCCGGGCATACAGCCAGGTGCCATTCGATTCGGTGTTCATGCTCTGTCCCTTGGTGCATTGCACCATGGGCCTGTCCACCGCATATCTCTCCACGTACTTCTGGATGAAGTCGCGCGAGGCGGGATGCACATCCTCCCATACCTTTTCGGATGTCTGGCACACCAGGCGCACATCGCTGTGGTGCACGTACTGGGTGTATCCGTCGTCGTAGAAGATCAGGTAGCGAAAGCGATTGTTTTGCTTCAGGGGCTCGGCAATGATGCCCGGATAGAAGGCACTCTGCACCACGCCCTTCTCCTTGCCACGCACCAGTGTGCCATCAAAGAAGGCGATCACCCGGGTGCCTGGCCGAAAGAGAAGACGGTTCATTCAACTGCTTGATGGAATGACTAGCAGCTGCATCCACTTACCAATGGGCAGACGCACTGTCGGCGGATCAAAGTAGGCCAAATGCTTGGCCGTCACAGTCTTCATCATCGGATAGGGCATGTGCTGATACTTGATCTTGTAGGCCTTCACTGTGACACCTCCGGCGGTGGAGGTATCGCAGATCTCCACAACATTAACGGAGACCCAGCTGGCAATGGCCTTGGTCTTGACGGCGTAGTAGGTCTCCCCAACTTTGATCGGGGGCCGTTCGATGTCACCAGCAGCCGGCAGGTGCTGGAGGCGCTAAAATGTCCAAAATTCAATTATACAATGCTCTCCATCTTTTTCGGCTATTAACTCACTTTGTAATCACTGGTGCAGATATTCTGATGGAGATCTAGCGGTGGCAATTGCTTGTGAACCACCTGGCATGAGTTGTACACGGAGCAGTGCATTTTGTCCGCCAGACTCTGGACCTTTGCCAGCTCTAAGTCCACCTGCTCGAACTCCTGCCCCAAGCGCTCCATCTTGGCATTAATGATGGTTTTGGACCAGTTGAGTTGCTTGGAGAAGTCCACCTTATCCAGCGTCTTCTTAATGGCATCTTCCAGTTCGTTCTCGATCAGATCCAATACATTTTTGGAGAACTCGGCTTTTTCTGCAGCAAATAAAATAAAATATAAAAAACTCTGTACTTTTTGGGGTTGTTGCACCGCTTCACCTGTTGTCTTTTCATCATCCTCCTCGTCGCTGCTGTCCAAGGTCACAAAGTCAGCCTGCTCCTGCTTGAATTCCTTTAGCAGCAGCGGCTGCCCCGCCAACAGAAGGCCAGCATACTCCTAAAATGGAAATTTTGTATGAATAACTTTGATCCACTGGTAGCGTGGACCTAGCAGCTGCCTCACTTCATACATATCCACTGCCGTGTCGTAGCAGTCCAGGCAAACGTACTGCGACCTGTGCAACTTCCTCGGAACCTTGTAGAAGTTCAGAATAGCCACGCAGGCCAGCACAAACTGCTTGTGTAGCCGCTTGCAGTTGCAGTTGATGCAATCCTTGTTGTACGAGATCATCCCGTCCCAGGCAAAGGAACTTTTATGCTCTGCCTCTACTTCTGTTGGAGCACTTCCTATTTCAAGAACTACCGAGAGAGCTTCTTTGGGCGCTTTACTGTTACTGGGCTGTTCATCGATTTCCATGGAATCGATAATGTCTTTTGGCTGCAACTGAGTTGCAGCTTCGGAAGATTTTTGGTTTTCCTTAGGTTCGTTCGTTGGTTTTAGACTTGGCAATGGTACATCTTCCTCCATGGCTATATCCCCCTCCACTTGAATACTGTCGTCAGCTTTCGACTGAGTCTCCGTCTCAGCTTGCTGTCCGTGTTCCTCCTTCTCCCTCGCAAGGGAATCATCCGATGTGGGACTGCTGATTAGTTCAATGCTGCTGTCAGCCAAGGCTTCACTCTCCTTGCTCTCCTTGCTGTCGGCTTCGCTTTCTTTTAGCTCAGACTCTTTGGTGGCGCCTGATTTTTCCTCCTCCTCAAGGGGCAATAGCTCCTCCTCGTTAACATCGTTTGAGGATGGCGATTTGAGGGGGCTGTCGAGGAGCTCTACGCTGTTGTCCGATTCGGTTTTTGGCGCCGTAGGCTCTGCGGCAGTGGGGCTACTCAGCAACTCAATGCTACTGTCAGCATCCTTGGCATCGTCAAGTGCCTCGGTATCCTTCGATTGAGCTTCGCTCGAGTCGGGAATGTCAATAGTCAAGTCCTTCATTTCGGCATCCATATCCATTTTTGCTTTTTTCTCCGGCGATGCAGAACAAATATCGTCGGCTGCCGGCGGCAGTGCCTTTTTCTTTTCCCCCACACTAGCTGTTGGAGCCTCACTCAAAGATGCTTCTGGGCTGCTGTCCCAAATGTCCATGGCAGCGGACTCAGCCATGACTTAATTTTTTCCAACTGATTTAGCACAAAAACTTAGTTTAAACAATCAGAGAAATAGAGAATTTGCAAAAAAGTGGACGAGCAATATTCCCACACTATGCAACACTAAAAGCCGAGAACTGAAAACTACACTACACTACCATTGACAACAAACATTTCAAAAGAGAATTGCAACGGTAATATTTTCTGCTATACGTTTGATTTTATTTTGGGAAAGAATTGGTTAGGAGCTTATGCCTCGAGAACCTTTGGGTGATATCCGGTCTCATCAGCAGTATAGACAACCTTGACCAGCTGGCCATTGGGAGCCACATACTCGTATTCGCCGGAAACCACCCAGTTGTCATGCTCCTTCAGCACACCAGACTGGACAGCCTTGATGTGGTTGGACAGTTCATAGGCATACTTGAAGTCCTCAACGTTAACTTCCGAGTCGCTCTTCAGGACATCAGCCTCTTCGTTGGCATAGGCGAGGGCCAGAAGGCAGGCGAGAACAATCTAGAGAATAACACTTTGCTAGCAGATATTCTTTTTAACTATTTCGAGATCCTCACTTACCACGAACTTCATGTTGGAGGATAAGGATATGTATGCTGACGGAGTGCGAAACAAATCTAACTAATGCCATCCAAAATAGTCGTTTATATACAGATTTCTTGACATTTCGCCACTGACCTGACGACTGCGACGGCGCAGCAGAGCCGTCAGGGCAGCCTAACAAAGCGTATAAATTGTCTCATAACTGGATTTAAATGGACTTTTGTCTTAATTAAACAAAACACACGATGCAGTCATTGTGATTCTGCACTAGGCGTGTGGCAGGCAATATTTATTGTTCAAGTCCCCAGGAACCAATCTATGATAATCTGTCGAATGTTCTCGTTTTACCTGGATGTTCATCATCCGCTAGATTGATATGGATGCACGATCAACTTGACAAAATTTTGATAAGTGCAAACCGGTACCAAGAGCATAACGCAGAACGAAAACAAATTGCTATTTATTTGTTATCTAAAATATATTTGCATAATTTATAGATAACTCCACTATCTGTCTGTTTCGGCTCCCGCAAAATCGAACCGGTTTTTATTTATCAAAAATTAACTTTGCCGCTGCAGCCAGTTGACCTCCAAAGCATAAGATTAAATCAAACATTTGAATATTGTGCCGCCAAATAGTCCAGTGCTGCAAAAGCCATGTTTCCAGATTGCCTTAATTTGCCAAAGTACGGCCATCAATTGCCATTTGCCCCGAAATCACACGTGCTGTGTTGGTATAAATAATTGTACACTTTTAGAGCGATGGCCAGCGATTCTGGCAGTGATTATGAGGTGGAGGCGTTTATAAAGCCGAAACGGGTGCGCCGGGCGGTCAACGATGACAGTGCCGATCTGCTGGGCAACTTTGACGACGAGAAACGAAAGGAAATACTCGATGGAACGTACGTGCACAAGGAGGATGGCAGAAATCCAAGTGATCCCGAGGACACTGACAGCGAGAGCGAGGATGGAGAGCAAGAAGACCACTCCGATGGCGAGGGTGCACCACCCTCTGGCAGTGCGGCCTCCGAATCCGAGGAGGAAGAGGCATCGCCGGATGGTCGGTTAACCAAAGATCAGTTGGACTCTTTGCTTCGTGGAGCGTCGAAAACAAACAGACATGTTCTGTACGTGACAAATCTCAACTTTGAGACGACAAAAGACGATTTGGAGAGACACTTTGAAGGAATTGGTTTGGTGAAGTCCATTAGAATCCCGAAAAAGCGTCGCGGTGGCTTTGCCTTTGTGGAGATGATGGATTTGGCCAGCTTCCAGCGCGGTTTCGAGCTGCACAACACAGAGCTGCAGGGTCGTCGCATAAAGGTGCAGATATCCGAGGCCGGCAAGAAGAAGTCGGCAAACAAGAAGAACATAATAAAGCAGAAGAACCGCAAGCTGGCCGAGATGCGCAACGAGCAGAAGACGTTCACGAAGAGCGGCAAGTTCTACGACAAGGACCTGAAGAAGGAGAAGGCCAAGGAGTTCCTGGCGCGCAAGCGCTGGCGCAAGCCCGCTCCCAGACCCAATTAACTAGTGTACACTCCCCCCCATTGCATAAGACTCCCTAAATATAGATAAACCTATGATTATTTAACACAAAACGGCGGACAAATTGATTGCACTACTGCCAGCGCACGATGTAAAAGTTTCGCTTTCCAACCCGCAGCAGGGAAACGCCATTACGGAGTATGTGTATGCCCGCAGTTATCACTTCGGCAATGTTCTGTACTCGCTTCTGGTTGACATAGAAGCCGCCAGCGTTTATAATACGAACGGCATCGGCTGTAAAATGGAGTTCACTCAATCAGCAGTCTGTCTTTCTCTTCTGTTTGCTACCGAATACACTTACTCTCTGTGGGAAAACACTTGGCCTTCATGGCCAGCTGCAACATGGACATGCCCGGCTCTGTCAGCAGATCCACTACAGCGGCGCCCTGGAAGGTCTGCTTTATCTCGGCATAATTCAGTTCGGCCAAGCCATCCACCTTCCCTTTGTACAGTGCATTGGTAACGCGCTCCGCCTGCTTCAGTCCATTTTCTGCAAAATTTAAGCGTTTCAATGATAACAATCGATTAGAAAAGACGTTCGTCGGAGGTGAACGAACCGCCATGCACAAGCAACGTCACATCCTCCGCCAGCAGCGTCTGGGCCTTTCTCTTCTCGGGCTCCTTTTCGTGCTCCCGCATCAGCTGCTCTATTTCGGGCAGGGGAATGAAGGTGAACAGTTTCAGCAGCTTCTCTGCTTCGGAGTCTGGCATGCGCAGGAAGAACTGGTACAGGGCAAAGGGCGATGTCTTGTTCTCGTCCAGCCACACAGCATTGCCCGCCGACTTGCCAAACTTGTCCCCCTCCTCGTTGGTCACTATGGGCAGCGTCATGCCAAACACCTCGCGTTTGCGCTCCACACGGCTGATCAGCTCGTGGCCGGTCATCAGGTTGCCCGTCTGGTCGGAGCCGCCCATTTGGAAACAGCAGTTGTGTTTGCGCAGCAGGTGCAGCCAGTCGTAGGCCTGGAATATCTGGTAGGTGAATTCCGTGAAGCTCATGCCATCCTCCGACTCTAGGCGCGACTGGACCGACGACCGGGACAGCATCGAGCCCATGCGAAAGTGTCGGCCCATATTGGCAATGAAGTCTATCAGGTGCAGATTGGCGTACCACTCGGCATTGTTGACGATCCTGTGGGGGAATAGATAGAGATAGGCCATCATGATTGCTCTCACTTATGACTACTCTCTTACTTTAATGGCTGCAGGGGCCCGCTGTTTTTACGGGTGTCCCAGAGGCATTTTTCATGGTTCTCAAACACTCTCGTCAGCTGCTGCTCGATGGCCTTCAGGTTGCTCTCGATTACGGACTCTCCCAGTTTATTGCGTTCCGTTTTGCGTCCACTTGGATCCCCGATCAACCCCGTGGCTCCGCCCACTAGAGCAATGGGCCTGTGACCGGCTCGCTGGCAGTGAAGCAGGCCCATGATAACCAACAGATTTCCCACGTGCAGACTATCGGCGGTAGGATCGAAACCGGCATATATGCTCTGCTGCCCACTGGTGAATAGCTGCTTCATCTTGGGCCTGACGCAAAACAGTTTTCATACATTAAAAGGCTTTTTATAGGCGGGTGACGAAACTTACGCAGCAGTGTCGGGGAAAATGCCTTGAAAGAAACCTCGATCCGTAAGCTCCAGGAGGTTTTTTTGTGCATAGTACCGCCAAGTGTTGCGGTAGCCGCCGTGGAGCGGCCTTAGCAGGCTCCATCTTAGTTTCAACATTATATTATGCAAAAGTGCACAAAATTCAAATTTGTGGTCGAAAAGAAACCGATTGAGGTTAGCTTGAGGCTGTTTTGATGCGAACAGCTGACGACAAAACTGTGAATGGCAAGTCTCAGCTGCAAAACAAAGCGCCTTTGTTTTGGTTCTGTTCTGTTGTCGATTGAACTGAACATGTCGGGGATCGGCTAAAGAGCCCTTAAACCGCGCAATAATGTTGCTGAAAATACGTCACGCCCTGCTCGAGATAACTAATCCACCAGCCACAAAGCAGTCTGCCATCATAATCAACAATGAGATTATCATCAGCTCGGGCAGCGTTCTACAGCCCCACTGCCGTGTGGGGACCGATGGAGACAAAGGCCAGGCGAAGAATGGAATCATCAGCGGTCTACAGCAGTGCCAGCTCATCAATGCCCAGGACGAAGAGAGCGAGGCAGGAAAGTTTATACGTTCGCTCAATTTCCTGGTGACCTTTGACCGCCAAAGTCAACGGCCACTGCGGCGAAATGTGGCCGCCAGCTCGAGGCAGAGCCACATCCTCACCCGCTACACGGCTCATCCTCTGTACGTCTTCTGTGCCTCGGAAGTGTCTCGAAATCTACATAAAATACTGCTATCTGCGGATTCTGGCGATGATAACTGGGTGCTCCGCTCCAGCTTCGTGGTACTGAGCATGCGGCCGTCGTCGGAGAGAGAATATTTTAAGCGTTTCCTGGTGCTAATTGGCAACTATTTGAGGCACCTACAGCCCATACACACGCTGGACGATGTTCTGGTCATGTGCTCGCCCTTTGGCCTGGAGAACTTCTACAAGACCATCAGCATTGGCAAGGTCTCGAACGTGATGGGACGTAGCGGCTGCTTGTTTGCCATCTCGAATGCCTTGCCGCTGGGCTGCGAGGGATCGGCCGTGTTTAACAACAAGTTGTATGACTGAGATGGTGCAGAATGTTTGGATATATTTTAGAGATTCTCGATTGATTCTAGGCGACTGATTGGCATTGTGATATGCACCTCTTTCCAGCGGCAGCAGGAAAACGTCAACCTAACGCTGGCCGCCAATTTTGGATACCTTTTGAGGAACTTTATGGAGCAGCTGGGCATTCCCACGACGACATTCAACTTGGCACGGGAGCCCTCGAGTTTTGCCTGTGAGAAATGCATTTAACTGACAGCTTGTTGAGCTTGTTATACGATAATTGTTGATATTTACATTGAAGGGGAGCGCACAATTGTAGTAATTGACTCGTCTGGTCAACAGGGTACTGGCACTTTTATTAAGGTCCACAACAAGCACTTTATCTTGACCTGTGCGCACGTTGTGGGAAAGGTAAGCACTCTGTAAACAGTCCGCTCATAGATCTTAAATTCGTCTTATTTAGCCCAATGCCAAGGTCAACTGTCGCGCAGCCGATCGTGAGTTTCAGTCGGATGTGATCTGGTGCAATCCGGACTCCACACGTCCCTACGATCTGGCCCTGCTGACGGCCCCAGACGATGTGCCCGAACGCTATTGCGTGCGCCTGGCGAAGAGCCCGGCCACGCTCGGCCAGACCGTGTACAATGCGGGTTTTCCCTACTACGTGAACTTTAACTTCAAATACGACTTCAATCCCTCGATATTCCAAGGTCGGATCATTAAGTGCGACACGGGAGCAATCATGTCCGATGGCAGCGTGCAGGCCGGCCAAAGCGGTGGCCCAATGTTCGACCACAACGGCTACATTCTGGGTGTTTGCGTCTCCAACATAAAGATGGACGATGTCATCTATCCGAACATCAACACCGCCATTCCCATTTGTGATATACGCTACACCCTGCAGCAATTCGCCCGCACCAACGGTGAGGCCAACAATTACTCGTCAATGAATGAACTTAATGTTTGCCTTTGCAGATGTGATAGTCCTCAACAATTTGGTTGCCAGCCAGGATGTGCATCGGGTGTGGTCTTTGGAAATGCCTCCCATACAAAGCAAACTCTGAAGCAAGTTACATTTTTGGCAACTATAAAAATTGCTAATGAAACTGTAATTGATGTGTTATTTTATAAAGTAATGGGACCGACCCAAACACACATAAATGTTATACCATAAATAAGTGGTTAATTGAAGTGATTAATTTTTGTCCAAACAATCATTGACATGACTCTGCAAAACGCTCAGGGAATTGAAGGGCTTTGAGCAGATGGGGCAGCGCATACCACTGACCGATTGCCTGGCGGCGGCGCCTGTGGGGTCAAGTACCTAATAGAGGAAATAAGCAAATAAGTATGCAGGTTTGGAAGCCAGGATTAATGCTGCATACTCTTACTGGTCTCTGTTCCTCGCGTAAGCTACTCAAGCCCGAGCTCGATGGAGAGGGGGATCCTGATTTGGGCGACTTTTGGGACTCGGCAAGAGCCTCAATTAACTCCTGGTTGCGCCTCTGCAACGATCGCAGATCCAACAGATACTGTTCCTTTTCGCCAGCATTCTTCTCGCGATCGGCCCGCTCCATTTCAAAGTCCTTCCGGTATATTTCGTTTTGTGTCTGCAGATGTTCGATCTGTTCCTGTCTTTGGATATCCCTGGCCTTTATCTGGTTAATATCGCACTGCATTTTGTGCATTAGTTCCTCGGCGCTTGTCAGATTCACCTTCAAGCAATCGATCTCCTGAATGTATACTTTCTTCTACAAATATAAGTCGCATTAGCATGCATAAAGTTCCCCCTAACAGTTGAGGTCATCGCTCATTCGTTGCGCAATACAAACCATATCGTTCACTTGCAGATTCTCTGCCAACATTTTGGATAGCTCCCGCTTCAGCTCCCGGATCTGGCGATCATGCTCTTCTCGCTGCACATACTTGAGCGGATTGCTTACTTCCTGCTCCGCCGTCTTGTTGCCATCTTCGGGTACAAACTCATAGGAATTCTGCAATTTACAAGAGCAGGGTGAAACCCCAAAGATAAATAAATTTCAGTATGGAAAACTCTTACTACGCAGCGCAAAGTTCAATTTGCTGAATACAGATAATTGCGTATGAGTATGGCATATGCAGACAAGAACGCTGATATCTGGAGCTGGACTCTGAACTCTGCACAAAGTGCATACAGACCTGCTTGATCTGCTGAAGCTTGTCAATTTCCACACGCATATTGTTGATCAGTGACGTCTTCTCTGACACACTTTGTCTGAGTTCGTCCTGCTCCTTGTGGCCCATGTCCTGCACGATCTGGATCTGCTCCAGCTTCGTCTCCAATTCGGCCTTGAGCTCTTGATTTTCCACTCGTAGTTTTTCCACCTGTTCCTGGCACTCCTTAAGCTGGTGTTTATATTGCTCCTCTCGATCGGCGGCCTCCTGGCGCCATTGCTGGGTCAGCTTGTGGTAGTCCATCATTGTGCGATTGACCATATCCAGTGTTTCTATTCGATGGGATTGGAAATCATTAAGCTGGAGATCCTTTAAAATATCCCTGCTTTACATACTCTTCAACGAAACGTACTCCTCCATCATGTTCTGCAGCTTGACCACATCCTCGGCAGACGCCTGCATCGAACACAGGCTGGGAAACTGTGAATATACGCTGTTCTGTAATAAAAAGACAATAATTGGTGATCTTCCTGAAGGGACTAAGGAGACTGTAAGTTACCTTGAGAACATCCGATTTCACTTCACCCATGATGAAACTAGCTGCTAGAGACTTGTGTCTGTCACTGTCAACCGATGTGGACAGTGGCCCTGAGCTCGATCCAGCAGCAGGCTCGTCCACTCCATCAGTCCCCTGTGTCAATGGCCTTTCTTCAACATCCATTGCATCAGCAAGCAGAACAGAGCCATCGGTGCAGAGCGATGGGTAGGGAGAGCTGCCAAGAATTACAAACGATTCTTCTTCGGACATTGCTCCTATAGCACTGGCGGGCCCCACGTTAATCATAAGCAAACTTACGAGTCGAAGTAGTCGGATATTACCTGGGAGTCCCCGAATTCAATTCATTTGGCCAGATGTTATTTTGGTCAAATAATAAATACATACGTACATGTAAATTTACTGATGTACAAATGTATGGATGTATATATCTAAGTAAATACAAATATGCAATAGTGTGATTCATAGGCAAGTGTTATATTTATTCTGGGTCGTTAGGTGAAATTTAGCGAATCCGTGGAAGTACAAACCTTATCGCATGTCCGTATCGCTGCTCTGGTATCTTGTAATTCCACGGAATAGTTGTGTGGTTTACGTTTACAAAATATTCCCGATTCCTTTATTATTATTGTTTTTAGTTTTTAGTGTGACCGCGGGCTTATCGACGAAATATTCCGCCTGACCCTCAGAAATATATCTTGTCATTATCAAAATATACCGTAAATATACTGACGGAGCGTTGATATTCCTTAATTTTGATATTCTGTTTGATATTACTAACTAGTTAGGACTTAATCAACTGAACATATCATTTTATCAGATAGATGAATAAATTTTCTGATATCTAGCTTACTTTAATGTCTCCCATTTATTGGATTACTTATAAAGTACAGTTTAAACAAAGAAACCCAAGATAAAACTCCGTCCCGTACAGAAATGCAATCAAATACGCACCTTTCGTTGCGGCACTAACCATACATTATATACTGTCAGTCATGTTCTCATCGATAGGCGATTTCCGTTAAAGCTGGACTCGTCTATCGGAATTTAAAAGGGTGCCTTCATTCGCTCATCTGACGAATCGAAACCAAAAAGTTTTGGCCTGTTAATGGAAGTATGCCAATTGCCTTTTGGAAATTCCCGCCCATCATTCATTCAACTGTGGTGTGACGTACATACCTTCCCAATTAAGGCGGCATTGTCGGATATCCGAGATTGATGTGCTGCCCATTACGGGAAGCCGGCCCAACCAGTTACAACGCAATGTATAGTAATTGCCAAACTTGACGGGTTCTAATTGTTGGGGGGGATTAGGAGAGTGCCAAACCGGATCTGCCCTCCCATCGCGCGAGCTGCACATCTCCATTGTTCGGCTTTAAGTAGGTTTCCAGGCCCGATGTGGGTTAATAAGACTTTCGCGTGCAGCTTATGGGCATGCGATGGGTGTGTGCGACAAGGAACTGGATTGCCAAAGATGCGACTTTCATCATTAACATGCCCAACCGGTTCCCAGATCACCGTCTTTGTTGCGACCGTCAAGTGCGGACGATCCCCAACCATTCAGAATTAACAAGCAAATAATAATGATAATAATTATGTGGTTTATTATTCAAGAATCTCTACTTGTATTTGATCTTACGGCTAGTGCACGCGAATAAATAAAATTAAAGAAAACTTATACGTTGTACGAATACGGTCGAAATTCCATTAAAGCTCAAGGTGCATCCAAGAAGTGTCTCCTCCTGCTCCTGCTCCTGCTCCTCCTCCTCAACTAAAACGAGGGGAGGTTCTCAGGCACACTCCACCATACGCACGCATCCATGCACGCAGATATATATTGTATATCACATTCAATCCTCACACAAAAGACTTAGAGCTAGGGCCACGCCAGCAGGCGTGCGGGTCTTACGCCAGCTGCTGGCGGAACAGGCGCCTCTGTATCTGGTGGGGGGGCTGCAGGTCGCGCTGCAGAATGGAGGCAAAGTGCTGCTGCTTCAGGGCACTGATCGTGGCAATCTTGCGGTGCCTGTTGGGCATGGTGGCGCGCGGCCGGCCTCCGGCTCCAGCTGCGGCCAGGCCCAGGCGGAAGATGTCCAGATCGTCGTCATGGGGCAGCGGCCGGTTCTGGTCCTCCTCCACGGGTGAGCCGTCGGGACGGAGCCGGAAAACCAGGGGTCCGCTCAGGTAGGTCTTTGGCGGCTCTCCTGTCAGGGCAAGGGCCATTGGCAGTTCGCTGCTCGCCTGCTGCTGCTGCTGCTGGGGACGCATTGGAGAGGAAGACCCAAAGCCGTAGGCCATGTCCATGTCCATGGCATACTGGTGCTTCTGCTCGTTGTTGCTGTCGAAGAGCGGGTTCACGTTGGACTCCGACGCCTGCTGCTGCGGCAGTTGCTGGTGGGTGAGGATGATCAGCGAGGAGGCTGGCGGCGTGGGCACTGGCGGCAGCGGTTTCCGCGTGGTGATCAGCGTGGCACTCGGATGCTCCCGCATGATCGATGACCAGACTGCGCAGAAGAAGCAGACGGGAAGAGAAACATAAATCAGAAATCAGATCACGTACTACTTGGACCACACGTTGCTTCTGCAGTGCGGAAGTTCTGATGCGGAAGCCAGAGTATGGTCTAGTCTGGTCTGGTGAGGCTTCCCACGCGACATGAGTACTTACTCAGCTCATTGGCATCGCGCTGATAGGGATCGAGTGCCTCCAGCTGTGCGTCGGAGAGTGTCTGCAGCTTCTCGTAGCCGTAGCCGAGCAGATTGTGCTTGCACTGGTTCACTGGGAGTCCACCGCCCACCGTCGACTTGCAGTGCACGCTAACCAGCTGGGCAAAGGTGGAGTACAGGTAAGACATCTGCAATATACACAAAAGAGAGGGCAGAGGGTGGATTAGGCAATGACAGCAGTAGCAGCAGTGCGTTTGTGTGTGTCAGCGGTGGCAGGGGAACGCTGGGATGGTTGCACTTTCGTTGCACAAACGAAATGCATGTCGAAAGCCTCTCGCATGTTGGGCAATGCCCTACTGAAGCCAAGCATCTGATGCCAGGGGCCAGCTGGTGCCATGTGGTGTGGGTGTGGGTGTGCTCCACTTTGGGGCTGCCGCTGTGGATGGGTTTACGGTTCAGTAGCCAAACTGTGCGGCCCCCCGCTCATTGTCTATTCTTCGTGGCTAGCGGAGCGTTGAATGGACTTTTAATTAGCACCGAATGTTCTACATGTATGACACATTTCGCGTCTCTGGAATTGCGCTGGAATTTCACAGATATCCCCGTCTTCTTATAGGTGACGTCAAGCGGTTGAGCTCTGTTGTCTGTCGCTCGATGCTAATCCAATGATAATCAATTTGCAGTAACTCCCCAGAAACTCCCAAAATGCTGTTGTGGTATCCAAATCCGGATCTTCCCTCACGCAAATTAGCACGGCTCACAGACCGAAAGAAACAGATCAACAACGGCAATGGGAAAAACAGAATCACACACACAAAGAAAGTAAGTTGATCTAGGAATCAATTCTGGGTCACTATTTATTTTGGCCTGGTTTGGGGAAGGTGTCTAGTGGTCTAGTGTACACTGTCCCGGGGGCACCCTTGAGCCCCATCCGCCCATCCATCGGCGCTCACCAAAGAGCTTCATTTGCATTGGATTCGTTTCGTTTCGGGGTTTTACAATTTTACGCCGTTTGCATAATGGAGGAGACGATCATCAGCCGCAGCAGCAACAGCAGTAGCAGAGGGGAGGTGGCAAGGTGGTGGGGTTGGCGTAAGCTCAACTTACGAATTACCGTTACCATGCCAAGAGCCAAAGCCCAGGCCAAGTCGAACCAGCCAGTGTGCACAGAAACGTGTGCAAAATGTAAAATGCAATTGATACGAATATGCATCACCCTCCCTCTCTCTCTCTCTCTCTCTCTCGGTCTCACACTCCATAGAGCTCTTCGCCTCTGTCTCTGTCTATGTCTATCTCTATCGCTTTGTGTTTTGAGTGTTTTTACAGCTAAATATTTCATGCACTTGTGGCAACAACAAATTACTCAATTTCGACAAGTGCAAAAGTACAGCACGTCGCAAAAGATTGAGGCGTCGAGTATCTATGCAATCGATAGAATGCAGAAATTTCAAGGCTTTGAGACTTATCGAAGGAGATATATGATCGATATGAGCCATCAAATTACCTAAAAAAGTTTGGTTATCCAACTGGTAAGATCGAATCTAGAAATAGTATCATCAAACCGTATACTACATATTTACATATACCTTTTTTACCGTTTACCTATACTCTTTTGTAGACTCTCCGTTGGCTATGAAACGCACTGTATATCTATATGTAAAATAAAGTACGTCATGCAGCACGTTATCTGATTCGAATAACTCTGTCAAAATTTTATGGTCCAGGCCATGACACAATTAAATAATTAGCCAGAACTCCAAAATAATAAAAAAATAAAAAATACAAAAAAAAATAATTTAACGAAACAAATTTGAGCAAAAACAAAATTTTATCTAAATAATTTATGGCATATAAACGGTGTAAAATATAAGGTAAAAATTCCAATCAGCCTTTTGCGGGAGTTGTCAAAGTCACGTACAGAATACACCTCCTATAATGTATGCACATTTCATACTTATGCATACTCATGTATGTATGTATATATAGATATGTAGATTTAAGATCGTCGCGGAGGCTGTAATTTATTAGCCTTCCAGCTAAGTGATCGAGCTGACATCGAATGCAATTACGGGAACGTCTAGAGAATGAATTGATCTTGGCCTAAAATCATCTCTCTCTCACTCGCCCCGCAACTAATCTTAGATCTCTGACTCGACTTCCCTGTATAAATATGGAGAATATTCAATTAAAACTGAAAAAACAAAAGCTGAGAGAAGACTCCCATTAGGCTGTCGCTATTCTGGTCTATCTGGTAGCTTTCCGAACTAAAAATATATATGGGCGTAAGCAAAGCAAAGTTATCACAGATCTTCCTTCCCAAACGCCGCGGCGGCAGCGGTTCAATAACCTGTTGATATGCGCAGGTTACATTATGAAACATCGAAATTGCCAACAAAAGAAATCAACAACAAAAAACTGAATCATTTCATAACATACAAAAACCAACGGCAGAGAGCAGCTTGAAGAAGTCGTAATGACACTCTGGAGCGGAGTAGGTAGTCAGTCTCCTCTGGAATGCTATGGACTTGGTCCCGTTCGATTAGCTGCGTTGGGAAAAGGGTCCGTCCGTTCGTTCCCATTACGAGTTGTATCTCTCCTCTCCTCCCATGTGTATATGTGGCGATATCTTAACATATTTTACGTAAAATACCGAAAAATAAAGTAATGCGAACATAATTTATTTATTGAAGTTCGAACCCCAAACCGGCTAAACGCGTTTGCATCCATAAACAACATAAAAGCCCCAAAAAGCCGATGGTTTTATTTTTGCAATCGAAAAATCGAAAGCTGTGCGAACGGTAAAAAGTAGCATCATCTCGACCAGAGAGTATAAAAAAACAGGAAGAAGAAACCTCATTTATTAATAGATCCCACTGGGGGGTAGCGTAGCGTTGGAAAGTGAATTCTAATTGCAATTAGAGATTTGATTTACATAAGCAATACCCAGCAGTACTATCATCAATATCCCAACATTTGTTTTGTTCTCTTCCCGCCTTTAGGATCGCAAATTGCGTTTCTACTTTTATTTTTTTTTTTGGCATATAATGGGATTTTTTCCTACGAGATTATTTTCTCATTTGCGGGAGGGAACTGTGCTGCGCTGTGTTGTGGTGTGGTGTGTGGGTGCCGGATATGGCATACAATCGGTTCTAGCTGGATCAGCTTACACTGTGTTCTGTTCTGTTCTGTTCGGTTCTGCTCTCTGGGGTTCGGTTCTATTGTTCGGAGCTTTGATTTTTAAGGCGCAGTTCGCGTGCTTAGCGGTCAGCAGCAGCACAAAAAATAACAAACAAAAAAAAGAGGTTTTCAGATTGATGCGCTGCCAAAAAAGAAAACGCAAAAAGGTCTAATGACTGGCCAAATTGCTATCTATATACACACCTCGCACATTGAATTCCAACAATTAATTAATAAACATAAGACAACAAACAAAACCCAGCAAATACATTTATATTTCTCTTCAAAGTTTAAGCAAACTCGCCTTTGGAGTTCATTAACCAAAAAACAACACAAAAAACTGAACAAACAGAAGAGAAAATTGCTGCAGTGTTGTCACGCTTTGTTGCACAAACATTTGTGCAGAAAAGTGAAAAGCTTTTAGTTGTTTTTCATCCTTTCAAAACGGAGGGCGGTTTGGCGGTTGGGTGTATGGAGAGGGGTTTTACGGCCAATTTACAGCAATTGCAAATGTTAATTGAAACCGTTGTTTCCCATAAATGGAAATTAATGTTCGGGCCATGCTCTGGTGACTCCGCTCGTTGCTCATTTGCGTCCCACCTGTTTTTGGCTAATTCGGAAGGCAAGATCGCTCCGATAGCATAACCTTTCTATTGGGGGGAGCAACAGAGCATCATCGATTGAGAAAACGGGATACATATTGTATTGTATATTGGCCAAGTTGGGTGCTAAAGCAGACACTCAGACTCGAACCTGCTTGAAACAAGGGGAAGAGGAATGCAAGTGGGGAATCGCGTGAAGTCTTGAAGTCTGTTTCCACGAAACAAACTCGGACCGAACGAAACAAGTAGACCGGCTCAGCCGGTATTTCTAACGATGGTCATTATCATGGGCAATTGGCCCAAAGTTTTTGCCACATTTCTGATAACGCACAATGTCAAGATCACACTCACAGTCTGCTTGGCGCATATTTATGCCAAGGACTGTGTCCGTGTTCTTCTCAACTCAAGTATATATTGTGTTTTCTTTGTCAGCGCCCCCAAAGGGGGACACCAGCCGAATACGGTAAAGTTATGCAAATGAACGACCAAATACCGCTCACCAACTGACTTTGAAGATGCCATCGAGCAGAGGCTTGTTATCCATTCATATTCCATATTAATTTCTTTTGTTTTGATTGCTTCTTTTTGAGCATGGCAAACACGGCTAGATCGCCGATCTGCGGTTCCAAGCGATACGAGCATATTGCGACCGACACGCGCTAACAAGAAAAGACAAGAAGCAGAAGCAGGGGCAGAAAAAGCCCCGTTAATATGCAAACATTTTTGTGTTTTATGATGCTCATTGAAGTTATCACAATATCAATATCAATAGTCATATTAATATCGATTATGTTCCACTTAAACATTCAGTTTTGTGCCAGATTCCACAGATGCGCAATGCCAAGGACAATGCGGTGATTCCGATCATAACTGGAGCAGCTGTTCTCTCTGAATATACTACGAGGCGTTGTAGAAGTCGCTCTATACATTTCTGGCGACTAAAAAAATCATGAGATCTGAAAGTTTTCTTTTTTGTTGACAATTAACACATAATTTGAGCCTTTCGAAAATATTTCGTTGTCAAATGACTTCTATTGGTGTGTTACCTCTCGACTTTTAATTATATTCAAAGCAAATGTTTTGAAATTAACTGAATAAATAATTGAACAAATGTTGCTGTTAGTCATTAATCTAGCCAAATTTGAGAGGAAGTTATAAGCCCATAGTAGCTGTTTGTTTTTTAGTTATACTAAATAGCGATTCAAATATTGTAGAAAAGATTCAATGTAGATTTGGGGAACTCTGAGGCAAGGCTTCTGAAAACACCGGCTCATCCCATAAGTATATATTGATCAGGTGTGCTCGTCCGACTCTTACCTTTTCGTTGCGTGTCAAAAACTCCCAAATTGGTATGGCCGATGACGAGCTCATTTGCATGGCGAATGCGCTCACCAGACACCAGGCCAAGATTACTTTCACCGCAGTCGTCATAGTTGTGTTGTGGAATAACTGTTGTTTTTACTGGTGAGGGTGGAGGGAGGGAGGCAGGCAAGTATTGCGTACTGCACACTAGGCAATAGGTTGACGCTGGCTGTCTGTGATCCGGGCTCTGCTCCGTATGATCCGTGGCCTGGGTCAATTGCACGCTCTTGACTTGTTGTGTAATGCCTGCCTGTCCAGCGTAGACTTTCTTTTTCGGGTCTAATTTGTTTTTATTGGGTTTTCGTGTTTAATTAGGAAACGCTTTTGTGGTCCGTTTGATAGATTATCACTTGGTCCCCGGGACTGGGCTTGGACTTTCTTTTGTTCGCACTTAATGGAATTGGCCTGGCAGAAACAACAAGCGTGGCTAATTTTGTGTTATCTATAGTTTCGCTGCTGTTGTTGCTTCTTTTGTTCGTCGCAGCTTGAAACGCAAAAAGCTCGTTTCACAAATAAGGGGGGCGGGCGCGTGTGGTGGAGTGGGAGGGAGGCGCGTATAACACGATCACGTATACCCGTATATCCGTCGAAATTCCACTAAAAACCACCCAACAGCGCTGATGACAAAACCGGCAACGACAACGTCTGCTATTCTTCTTCAGTCGAAGCCGCAAGCGCACACGTATTTATGCTCCAAGCTTGGGTTGGGAGAGCGAGAGCGCTTGGAGATAACTCAAAGGTATATGAAAACGAAGGTGGGGCAGCCAGCGACTCTCTCCGGGTACTCTAGTTATCTGCGGCATATAAAACTAGGAAAAACAGGTAGCTATTAGAGGGCTTCCTCACCTTGCAAAAATATGCAAATGCAGCATTGTAAGCTGCTGCTTCTCTCTCGCACTCTCTCTTTCCTTCTCTCTCGCTCGCTCTCGTAGCAAACTTGTTTGTTCTACGCTTGCACTGAAAATAGAAATTGAGACAAAAAAATCGAAAATATCAAAAACAAAAAAAAGCAGCCTCGCCGGGAATTCATTGCAAAAATTTCAAAGTCAAGTTTGTGGAGTCGTCATGGAGTCTGTCCCGACGAGCAGAGTTCGAGCCCGTATTGTAATTTCCAATTGTTTACGTACTTTTAATTGCCAGGCTGGGGTGCTGTGCTGGCGAATTCTGGTCAACAGCAACAATAGCATGTCAAATATTTAACAACGGATCGCTAATTAAACAAAATAAATACATCAAATCCTAATATGCTTCGGCGCCAGACGGACACGAATCCTGTTTGCGATTTCAATTTGCGTGAACTTCATTTAATTGAATTATAAAGCGAAATGCGGTGAACCAGTTGACCAGTCCCGAAAAGACTCCACTGCCAGTAGGAATGCGATTTTATTTAAAGGCTGGAGGGAATTTCCTAATATGTATAATGTCACATAAATTTGATAAGCAGAAATCGTTCCATTGAGTCATTGAGCATAAAAGAAAAAAAGAGAGGAGGAAGAGATCCGTTAGGTTGTTGACACATCCACTGGGCGGCGATTATAATGTGGCCATTGGCCACAGAAGAAGAACCGTTAATGGGCTGCTGCAATCAGTCAGAGGCTGGGGACGTGGACTGCCTTCCGGGATCAAATAAACAAAAGGCTCCCCAGAGCAATGGTCTTTTGTATTCTCGACTTTATTTCAAGATTTGCGCACATAAAAAGACATTAGCAATACACAAACAAACACAAACGCATATGGGATATGCAGTGACAGCTTTCTTGGAGCTCCAGAGATGTCCAAAGAGTGCTCTCTCTGTGAAATGCCTCACTTTTGTCTCACAAGTGATTGTACTTCAAGAAGTTGCGATCGTAGTGATTGCCCCCGCCATACAGATCCCGGTCCTCGTTGTTGTTGTACATCATGAAGGGGGTGTTCTGGTCGCCGTTGCTGTCCAAGATGGGCACGTAGCTGTTGAAGCTGAGAACCTCTTTCAGGCGATGGTCGGGCCGGCGGCCCAGTTGAATGACCTTGGCATACAGATCCGTGTCCGATTGGAGTGCACGATCAAAGTCCTTCCAATGCACAAACTTCACGTGCTCGCTGGGAATGGCATTGTTGTCGAGGAGCTCCATCAGGGTATTGGAGTTCACCGGCTGAACCACGGTCAGCTCTCGCTCCTGGCCAGTTGCCTCACCTGTGGCCAGTCGCCGCTTGCTGGGCTGCGACACGTCCACATCCCAAAGCCAGGCCAGCAGAGGTGTCACAGCGGTCTGAAGGATGAGAATATGTGCTTCTGAGAGGAATGCTATGGGAAGAGTTTAATGTGCCACTTACCTGCTGTTCGCTTCGTCCTATGCGTGGAATGGTCTTCAGGTTCTTCATTACCAAGCTCTCTCGTTTGCCCAGGCGGGGCACGTTCTTGGTGATCTTCAGAAAAAAGCCAGGGCTATCATCTGCCTGGCAGAAGACCACAAACACCAGCAGGAGGAGAACAGCTAGGACAGTTAAGGATCTCATGCTGACGACACGCCAAGTTAGCCTGACTACTGCTCCCACCTCAACGGCTTTTATATTGGAAAGTCACCCACATTTTTGGATATTTTGGGTGTGTCTGATTAAACCACATGCGGGTGGCTCCAGGAATTAGCATTATCGATCAGCTTCGACTCGGACCAGACCAGAACACCTCAGTCTGACCTGAATACGTACGTACACATATCTTTCGTTATATACAGAACAAGTACAAGCACAAGTTTAATATATAAAAACATAATTTATTACATAAATAGGATAAACAATTAAGGAATTTTTTGGATAAAAAACGATCCCTCTTACTAGATGAGCGAGCTCTGCGCCCATTGGGCCACTTCTGTGGGCAAGGCCTGGTACCGCTGAACCGCCTGCTGAATCTGGCCATAAGTCAATGCCATTTTGTGCATTTCAAACTCCTTCTGCACCTTGCCCACGCCGCTGTTTGAGAGCGGCATGATCAGCTCCCCGATTCGCAAGTGCTCAAACGCCTTCAGGACAATCGAACGCTCCACGCTTTGCATAGTGGTCGAGACCTTGGCAAATTTGGAGAAGCGCCCGAATACAATCTCAAAGTTGAACGGATCCCGATCGTAGATCTCCGAGTGATGCTTGATGGCTATGATGAGGCACAGCTCCAGCACAGAGAGGCCGCAGAGCAGGTCGATCTTGTCATCGCCCTCGTATTGGGCTGCCAGGACCGTCAGCTGGTCGACAGTGATGTGGGGAGCGTCTGGCTTCAGTTGCGCCACCAGACGAAATATGAAGTTCTTAAGGAATGCCTCGCTGATGTCGAAATCGTACAGCATCTGAAGACTTTTTTGAGCCTGCGCGGATTTGAGCATTTTAGCATGGTGCTTGTTCCAGTTTTCAACGAATTTGTTGTCGAACTCGTACTCCACGGCATCGAAGTGGTTGCGATGAAAATTGAGGGCCTCCGATTTGAGCAGTTCCAGGCTGTCGATGCGGTCGGCACTGACCTTTAGCTCACTGTTGCTGGGTATCGAGAGGAGCTCTTGGCAGAGCTTTGTGTACTCCTCAAACTGGTCGGCACTGGGGAACAGAAACACTTGTCTGTGGGAGAACCGTGACTTGACGCGCTTCTCCAGCAGCTCGATAACGTCCAGGCGGCATGTCACTCCCAGCACACAGATCGGTGCCTGGGCCGACTGCGAGACGTCAAAGAGATTGTACAGCAGCGTTTGGTTGTGATGTGTGCAAAACAGATCGAATTCCTCCAGGACAAACACAACGCTCTTGGATTTCTTGTCTCCCGCCTTTAGGCATTGCAGCAGGAAGGCCAAATTCTCTGCGAACGAGCCAAATACCTTGCCGTCGGCTGCATTCTCCAGCCGCATCTGCACCGTAATGGACTTCAGGGCAATGCGATCGTCTGTATGCAGATTCCCGTCCAGGTGCACAATCAGCGTGTTGTCCACGAACGATTGGTTGACCAGCAGATCTGTCAGCACGGCATTAATGAGCTGCAAGGACCCTGGTTAGCTTCACATACAAATATAACTACATTCATTCGATCATACTGTGGTTTTTCCAGCGCCGCGCGGCCCAATCAACAGCAAGGAGTTCGATTCGCCCATTTCCGCGGTACGCTGCAGCAACTGGCGCACGTTGGAGCGCTCCTCTTTGTAGCCCCGCAGAGTTGTGTAGTCCCGCTGCAGGCGCTCCTTGACGAAGCGTCTAGCTTTTCGCCATTCCTGTGCATCCTCCGGCATCATTTTAATCTTTGTTTACTATTTTCCCGCCGAAATTTTTGTTTTTGTTTCGACCAGTGTGACCGCGGATTTATCGACAAAATATACCAAAATATAGCGTAAATTTGCTGACTGACAAGATGCGTTGTGTTGATATTCCTCGATTTTAATATTCAGTTTAATATTATAAGCAAGCTAAAACTCTCAGCGCTAAAAATATATTTTTCTACAATTAATTAATCAATTTTCTTAATGATTTGCCAATCATAAGTACTCATTTTTATTAGAATTATTCATAAATAAGGTTTAATCAAAAATCAAACTTGTGGAAAATTTATTGTTTTACATGGTAACTACACGCTAAATACACATTTGCTACAAATGAACTACATAATCATGTACAATTCGACAGAGACCTCTAACAAGGAATGTGTACGTTTCAGAAAATATTTTGATATTCGATTTAATATTACTGGCTAGCTAGGGCTTTAAAAGGTGAGGTGTGACGTATGACGTAATCCAGAGCTTTGGAGGATAAATTTATAGCGATACTATCGTTTCGGCAGCGATCCAGCCCTAGTGAAATATCCGTTAATATATGTGTGCTTTAATAGAGATGGCCCTGCTCGGTATTATATATCGGCTAATAATATCGAATGTGTCGTTTGTCATTCTGACAAAGGCTGGGCGCCATGAAACTAGGAGTTTGGCGCCAGTAAATTAAATTAATGAAATAGGTTTTGTTAAATATGGATTCATTTCCTAATTTTGCATTGACATTACTAAAATTGACAATGACAACAGCCTCGTACTTATCGAATTTATTGTTATTTTAAGACAATAATCCACTAGGATAATTGGCTTTGTCATTTGGGAAATTGATATTTTGTCAGTGTGGTTAATGGTGCGTTAATGGAGCGACTAGATATGAATTTGGTACTGCTAGTCGCAGTTTTTATTCAAGTTTCATTCTCAGTCTTGTTCCAGAATGAATACCCTGTGGTTTTTGATACTTATTGCCATGGGACCGATCGCAGTAAGGAATAAAAATATATATTAAATAATGCGAGCTGAGGAGTTACATACATATATCCGAACAGATCCGCGGACACTTTGAGTTCGACAATATTCGCTGCTTGGTGCGGGATCAGAAATTCATGGATTTTGACTACTGCTATCTAAGATCTGTGAATCGCACCTACAAGTACATGTCGGTGAAAAGCAAAATGCACCAGCTTCCGATTACCAACGCCATGGTAAGGGTGATCTTCAGACATGCCATGCCGAGCCACGTAACGTTCGATCTTTGCAGATCATTCTGCAGGTAAGGCTGCGGGAGAACAAGAGAATCCTGTACAACTTCAATGTCCGCTTCGACGCTTGCAAGTTCTTGCGGGAGCGCAGCAACGTCCTTGTCAACTGGGTTTTCCAAACCTTTGCCGACTACTCGAATTTCAACCACACCTGTCCTTACTACGTGAGTGCAATCCTTCAATTCTACGGCGAAAAATGTCTTTTGGTTTCCCCAATTCTAGCATGATATCATCTTGGATAAGGTTCCCATTCAGCATATAAACAAGATCGTCGAGAAGGTCGTACCGGATGGCCGATTCTATCTGAACAGCACCTGGTTTATTGACGGCATTCCGCGGTGCGATTTGGTTATATATTTTACCAAAAGCTAAATAAACCGGAATAAGTCTTCCCCAAAGAATCAGGTACATCCTCTGCCGGATCGAATTATGCATTGTATTTATATAGAGTTCTGTGAGAAAAAGAGGGAGTTTTCTTCGCGCAGCTGGCGGTGGCAGCTTAGGAGCGGACCTGGACCGAAGGCACCTGTCCCTGACGCTTGTCAAGTGGTTGCTGGCCAGCTCTGCTAATGCGATTAGGGAAACGGAGCACTCGCCTCAGCTGCCAATCACATGTGCCCTGGTCGAGTGCTCAACCAAAAGTTGGCACATTCCCAAATTCTGACACTTAGACAGGAACCTCTACAGCCTGCTCTACAACTACAACTACAACGACAACTACAACGACAACCACAACGACATTATGCCAACAGATCAGGTCATAGCGGAGCGCTGCAAGCGATCCGTTATTGCTCACTTGGCGGCCATCGATGACCAGTGGAAGGAGCGCCTATCCTGGTACCCGCAAATGCAGGCCAGCCTCTATGGACGGGTTCCCCAGATCTACTTGGAGAGCCGTCAGATGTACGGGGACGAGCATTTTCTGCGCTACGCTCGTCGCCATCGCCTGCACAAGAAGCACACGGTGACCAAGCAGGATGCGGAGAGGATTTTGTTGGAGCGCCAGGAGAAGCTCGACGCAGATGCTCTGGACTGCAAGGTCCCACCCACTGAGTATGGAGAATATGGCCGCGTCAAGCCCTCCCGCCAGCACTTTTGCTAGGCTCCAGCTTCGATTTCCAGCTGTAGCTCCTCCAGTTAGTTGTCATTTAAGCTCGTAGTTCAGTTCCCCTATATTTGTATATGGCATACGATTAAAATATCATCGCCTGCTGACAATGCAACTCTCAATGGCCGTCACTTCATTACGAGATTTGCATGACCGTGCGCATAATTAACAAGGTGAAAATGTCAGCCCAACTGACAACCGGTTCTCCTTTTCCCATGCCTGCTGATTGAAAGTAGAAGTAGAAGCCCTCCTCTGCGGGGAACTGGGGGGCTGGGGGCTCGGATTTGTGGTCTGGGGGTTTTTCTACTTAGCGGCAGTTCGGTTGAAAAGTTCGCACAGGTAATTAAGTCTCTGAGTATCTGTCCGGAATGACTCGTCTCGTTTGTTCAGTATGGAAACTGTTGTTTTATATGGCCCATAAAATGGAAAATATTCCACAAGTGCATGATATGATCCATCCATACATATGGTACGTACGAGTACGTAGATATATAATTAATATTTGATGAATTATTGATGTGTGGGCTGAACTGCAGATCAAGAGACCCATCTCCCATGTCATAATGGAAGCTTAATAGCGTTGGAATATCAAATCGTATATTAATCAAATAAAAATTGCGCGGACTTCTATGAACAATCGATTAGTTAGTTCGATTTATTCCTAGTCTAAATTGGTAATTTGGTAATTTAATGGACTCCTTTGGTTCCAGGAATCTGTTCATATGGCAATGTATATTCATGAATGTGTCCACCGCGGCAGCTGCTCTTCTCCGCCAAGGCTGCGCCTCACTGAGGTGTCATGGGGTGGTGCATTTGCCAACGGTATGATTTAAAAGTTTCCTATGCAAATTACTGCCAAAGTTGGCAGACCCACTCCCAGTCCCTGCACATTGCCAGAAACCTCTTGAAAATGCCCATACAAAGTGTGCAAATTACACAAAGAGAAGGAAAACTTTAAGCCATGCCACGGAATTGTGCCAGAAGGCGATGCACCTACTAGCTGGAAATAGAGCAGGAAGAGCGCAGGTATTTTTGCGACTCATTAGACACATGACAGCCTTCACAGGGGACAAAATGGGACCAAATGGGGGTTCGTCTGGGGCTCTCGACTGGGCATGGGGGCGATGACTGTGGGCGGCGGTGGAATGCGTGTGAAAAATCAGGCAGCAGCGGCCCACAAAATCGCTCGTCGCGCAATTAAACGGTAGCAAATAATTGCTATCGAAAGCCATAATGATGGCCAGATCCATATATACAGGGAACACTCGGTACATACAATGTATCTCTCTCTCTCTCTCTATACGGACACTTGAGAGTGTGGTGTGTGTGTGTGTGTGTGTGTGTGTGAGTGTGTTTGTGTGCCATATCTTGATTTCGAGAGTGGAGAGCTTTGCGGGTCGTTCGCGCTTCTTATTGTTTGCACAATTTTCCCATCAACATCGATGCGAACTTTTTCAAAAATGATTCTTCTTTTTGTTGAATCATCTGAGCCCGAGATCAGGCTGATTCTGTCTTTTTTTGGGAAGTGCTGAGAACGAATGAATCTGTAAAAACAAAAGAAAGAAACGGCAGAAAAAAGTTACGGCCTTAGACAAAACAAATAAACATAGAGACACCTACCACGAGGAGTGGGCTGCCAGTGGGAATGGGAATTGGGAATCGGCAATCGTAGTGCAGTGCAGTTCCAACCCCTTTTTCGGGTCCTTGGGCCGAAGGTAAACATACATTTGCGGATTTCACGCCAGGGCTCAGACAGCATTGCTGATCCTATTAGAGGGACAATGACTATGGCCACTGACTGACTGACTGACTGGCGCCATGTCTCGGTCAGGATTCGCCCGCTCTCTCTATCTCTCTCTCTCCAACCCACTCGTACTACTTCTTTCTCTCTCACTCTCTTAGCCATTACACGATGACCTGAGACCCAGGGCCAGAACCAGAACCAGAGCCACAGCCAGGTTCAGTGCGGATTAGGGCGTAAAAGGGACTTAATCCAGTTTTGCATCGATCTTCCACTCAGTCGCTGTTATTCTTGTTTCTTTCTTTTTTTTTGCAGGTAGCCGGATCGGGAACAGGTTCGTGCTCTGTTCCTGGTCCGTGTTCGGGGCAGGAAAAGCCAAATAAAATTATAAAAAAAGAAATAACGAAATAACGAAACAAAACACCAGAGCCGAAACATTAAATAAATAAAAGTCAACAGCAGTCGGCAGCTCATAAACGATCCCCAAGTCTGTGGCGGCAGCTGACGCCGTCCTAAACTTCAACTTCAAATTAAAACGCCATTGGCACTTTGGCACGCATAGACAGAGGACTCCATCTCCAACTCCATCTCCATCTCCATCTGCAACTTGGACTTGGATTTAGATGGAGCCAAAGAGTTGGAGCCACACAAAAGGCAAACTCTTTTTGGTTTCGCCGACAACTGGCCATCAGCCAATTTGCCAATTTCTTCAGCTCGTTTTGATTTGCCGCCAAAAACAGAAGACGGACGACTGAGAGCGTAAAACAAAACCCAAACTCAACTCAGATCTGAACAAAAATACGAGACAAAAAAAAAACACCAAAAACGCCCCCAGGCAGGGCAGACAAAATCCGAACTTCCAACTTCCATTTGAATCTCTTGTTTAGGAGCAAAGCAGCAACAAAATATGATGTGTGGCCTAGACCTAGGAATGCCTTAGTGGATCAATGCTTACTGGGCGTCCAGGGGTGCAGCTGGGCAGGGTGTTAAGCTGAGAGCTTCAAAAAAAGTATCTAAAAGTGGGGAAAGCTTAATAAACTTAACTAGTCTAAGAAGTGGATTATGAAGTAATATTTTTGTAGAAAAGCTTAGAGGAAAATAAAAACAAGACCTCAAGGATATCTTCGTTAATCCCATAGTGTCCACGAATGTCAGCCCATCAAATGAGGGAGGGCTTATCGGGTGACCCCTGTTTGTGGCCGTGCCACTGCCTGCCACTGGCCAAATTACACTTATGGCCATAATTCAATCAGCGCATTATCAATCACTGCGGCTACTTGTCTTGCCCAGTGAGTCAAGTCAATCAGCCATCGCCTATCTCCCTCACCTGGAACTGAAGTGTGTGTGTCCCGTCCCTCTCGCACTTGAGTGTGAAACACGTTTGAAAGTCATTAACTTAAATGATTCACTTTCTGAGCCATAAATTTCGCCACTAACTGGCGCGCAGACTGCAAAAGTCTCTGTCTCTGTGTGCGAAAAATCATCCAGCAACCAGCGAAGAAATCTCTTAAAAAAATTGCTAAATAATCGCCTTAAATGAGTCTATAAAAATGAACACCCTGAGCCCCGGCCTGGGTTCGCCCGGGACTCAACTGCCGATCGGACTCTGGCTAGAGCGCTCAATCGGCGATCCCAACGGACGGACCGGACCCATGGACAGAAGTAGCTCAAAAGTGCTTTCAAAGTCTCAAAGTGAATTTTCATTGCCAGCGGAAGTCGTAAATCAATTTTTTCGTCTACCAAAAACAAAACAAAACCAAAAAATAAAACAGAAAACATGAAAAAATGGTGGAAAAATGTTGAGTCTTTCAACTCAAATATATTTAGGCCTAGAAATCAGGGATAGACAGAAATGAAGTGATGGGGAGATGGTGAGAGGGGGGGGAGGAACCCATTCTGGAAGAGCATCCGCAAAGAAAGAAACTTTTGTTGTTTTGTGGCTGGTTCCTCGACCAATTTCGGCTAAGACGACAGCCATAATGATAGGGGCCACTTTTGCCGCCACCGCTGCCACCGCTGGCACTGCCGCCCCAGCCACGCAACCACGCACGCTATCGCTATGGCCAACAGCCGTGGGGCAGGAAAGGGGCAACTTGTCAGACAATGTATTTGTATTTCATCTACGTTTCCGTTTCAATGTTTTCAAGACGCCATCATGACATTGTCAGTGGCGTCGACGACGACGACGACGACTGGAGACATCTCACGCAGCCTTAGAATACCCTAAGCAGTCGGGGAGTGGGCACAGAATGCAAACTAGAGGTTGGAACTGGGGATTGATTATGCCTCAGACTAAAGTATTTAACTAACTTATAATAACTTTGCTTGAAGGATCTAAATGTAAAAAGAAAGGTCTCGAACCTAACCAATCTGCAGGATCTGAAGGAACCCAAGACAAAGTTAAACAGATCAGACAGCAAGAAGATAAAAGGTAACCGTCTTAGCCGGGAATAAGTAGGTTAAAGATGTTCTGAAACTGAATATCGGATGGGCTGAGGACAGGCAAGGAACAAGGAAAGATTCGCATGTGGTAGATATACTAGAGGATTTCAACCCCGTTTTAAAGCATATAAAAATACCCTTTAAAACTGTTTTAGAACATCATAAAGTATCTGTAAATTTTGGACGAGGGAAATCCTCTCGGGGAGCCCTTGATGCTGGGAGCCAACGCCTCTGTCTGGCAGAAACAATAGATCGTCCAGTCGCAATACCATTCCCATTCTGATTCCCATTCAAATGCCAATGGGATTATCTATGAGCTGTGAAATCCTTTTAGGCGGAAATTATGGAAACCCACACACAAAGCGCAGGACAATGCAACAAGTGTTGCAGCAGATTGAGCAACAAAAGGTTCATAATTATGGAAGCCACACAATGCGACACATTCGTGGTGAGGGCGAGGGCGAGGACGTGGACGAGGGACTGCAGCAACCCTCGCTGGCATAGGTTCGGGCTTAGGGGTCAGAGCAGTTGGCCGGGCTAATGAGTGGCCGCAAAACAAACCATAAACCATTGGAAATCTTGCACATTGATTTCATGCCCTCCGACTTTGGCGGCATTTCGTTCTTTCTCTACTACTTGACACCCTGCTCTTGGCTCTTGGGTCTTGGGTTCCCCTTTCCTGTTCCCCTTGGCATTTCCCATTTTACAAATTTATGTTCGAAAATATTTGGGAAATTAAATCATTGCCGCAGACAGTTTTATGGTCAAGGGCGTGACGAAGGGAATCGAGGAGTTCGTGTGTTGGCGGTAAAACTATCTAACAATGACCTCTCCCCCTCTGGCCGCTCGTCCCTCTCTTCACCCCAGCACTTCCAGCACGAATGAGCAAATTGGAAAAAATGTCAATTATGCGCAATTTTGCCTAAGCA